GAAGGTCATGGTAATAGTAGAGACCCTTGAATAGCGAGCATTTAGTCGTTTCTGGTACGTAATCGCTTCTTGGAGAGTTAGTCGGAACTCCTCGGAGCTCGAGAAATAGAGGCCCTCGAGCTTTGGGGGACTCGCTTCCCCTCATCAGCAGCATCAGCCGCAGAGGGGTGTCGATTGTTGCAGAACGGTGCATTGGTGAAACCTGAATAATATTTGCTTGGCAGGCTGAACGAAGGCGGGTAGATAAATGAGGTATCAGATAATCTAAGACACGAATATGACATCTTCTCAACAGCCAATTCCATGCATAGCCCCATAGTGAGAAGGTATCTTACAATAACTCTATACTTACACCCTATCCTTCCTATCCTTATTCGCTACTTGGAGATATGTTCTAGATAGAAATGGCTTAATGAGTTGAGAGTACTAAAACAATATTTAGCTGTGGCTAAGATCAATTGACGATAGTCAATTTGATTTGAAATGATTGGTTCAAATTAACTGTATCAAGATCTGATCGGCTTTTAATGCTGGGTTACATACGCGTACCTACGTCCCGGACCTTTTTTATAAGAACTTCAGGCCTGTTACGTACATACCTACCTCATATTAATCAAGTTGCTAGGCAAGCCCTCTCAGGTCTTCGCATAAGGCATCGGAAGTTAGCGAGATCCAGAGATCCAGTAGCACTTACGGCACGCACCGTACCCAAATAAAGGCACGTTTGGCATGTGAGCGCGTGGCGGAGTGGGGGGAGGGGGAACATTCCATATCATAACTCGATGCCTGATGCGATAACTTGATGCCTTATACCAGTTTGTTAGAGCTGCGCCCCAGCAAGCTGAGCTAGCTTCAAGATTGCTGTCCCTGGATGACCAACCGAACTGAGCGATAACCTACTTCATGACGCGCATTTCAACTTAACGGTCAGAGTTATAGTTATAAAAAGTAGCAACCTAATGGATACCAATTGCAGCATCACCCAATTAAGATATGATTAGAGGGCAATGGTGCTTACTCAAGCTAGACTATGGAGTCAAACTATGTAACCTAGATGTCCCCTCGAACATCGCTTAGGTGACGAGCAGAAGTAAATATATATAATGAAGTCTCCGACCCGTATCTTTTAAGGTAACTAAACTCTCTTACTTAGATATGTTTTGCGTACACTTGCTACATATTTCTCAATCAGAGTAGTCAACACGTATCTGTCTAGTTTTCATACCATGGCCTCTTCAACAGCCCTGCCTGTTGCCCTACTAGTCATATATCTTACAACATCTCCGTCCTTAATCTATATAGCCATAAAACATGGCTTGAAGCATGGAGCGATCATCGGCTGGTCCTTTCTCTTCATCTTCTGTGCTCTCAGAATCGTCGCGAGTGCTACTGAGATACACGATACTCACAATCCAAGCGCTGCACTGGTTGCTAGTATTGGACTGTCTCCCCTCCTTGCTGCTGCTTGTGGCATTCTTCATGAGTCGTAAGTTCCATATGACCTCAAGTACATCTAACCGTCCCTTTAAAACTCACTATATTACAGGCGCGCTTATACCCTTCCGAAATCACGACGACCTTTTGACGCCCCATACCTCATTTTCTTCCATATTCTTGTTACGACTGCAATTGCTCTTGTGGCTTCTGGTGCCGCAAACGTCAACGACGACACGCTGCCACCAGATCAGATCAAGCGAAGCCTTGCTCTAATGAAAGGAGGCATGATTCTATTACTCTTGGGCTGGCTTTCACTTGCAGTAGTTACCCTCACTACATTTCGAGATTCCCTGACCCGCGAGTCAAGAAAGCTAGCAGGGAGTGAGGCAGGGAAGAAACTACTTCTAGCTGTCACGATTGCTATACCCTTTCTGGGCATTCGAGTACTAGAGAGAGTTGTTTATTTCTTTACTCAGAACCAGGAGATAAACCCGGCAACGGGTAGCCTTGGTCTAAGAGTTAGCCTAGAAGTTATAGAGGAGATAATCGTAACATTACTCTTTGTCTTCACAGGTATCATGACCCGAAACATTAAAGCAGCGGCCACGGTGGACTGATATAGGCATACGGAAATTGTCTACGATAGATACCCAGGGTATATGACTGGAGCAGAAGTTCATATTAATGAGGACATTTTTCGGGACGTTAGGCTCATAGTCCTCATAGTTTAGCGTCATACTCCATGAACTAATATCACCAATTTCATTTACACTTTCAGAGTTAAGCCGTTAACAGGCAGCTAAGACCATGACTATCGCAGACATGAGCTAAAAGCAAAGTGAAGTCGTTTGGTCCTCCATCCTCAACATGATACAATAGGATATGTAAATGGCAAGTAAGGTTAATGAGACCTACAGGTGTACGGTCCTCTAGATACATCTTACGCAATAGGTGCATAAAAACTGAATTTCCTCCTTGGGTCATACTTATTCTTCAGAGTTAAGAGCTTTTCCTGGCGCCATTTTTCGTGCCCGTACCAATTCTCCTTTGCTTCATCTCCATATGCGTAATTGACGTATGTATGCATCTCACTCCTACCGGTACCCTCGTGGATAATATTACGAAGAGCATGGCCTAACTCGGCAGCCTTCTTATCGAGGTCCGGCTCACCCGGTGCATACGTGATGAAAGGTGCAAGGAGAAGATTATCGCCTCGGAAGGGGTAGGCTGTCGATTCGCTGGGAATACTTTGAACTCCCTGTACAGAGTAAGTCAAACCACCCTTACTGGGGCCACCCTAGTGGGGGCCACCCATTTCCCATACAAAATCAACAACTTCGCATGTTTATAATTAATTTAAAGAAAATAGATAAAAATATAAAATCTCTTATGTTTTACTTTTCGATCATTATAATAGCTTATGTACATTTTATTATATTTAAAATCTAATATTTTAATAATAAAACAGTAAAGTGTATTTTTAATGTTATTTTAAAAATTTTAAAAATTTTAATTTTATATGGAAATTTCATCAAATTACCATAAAACCTTATAAACGCTTATAACTTCTCAGATAAATAAGTTATATAACTCGCCCTAAATTTAAAAGTTATATTAAAATATCCCTTATTTAACAATATAAATTTTACATTTATATCATATTAATTGGTAAAGTTATAAGCAATAATATCCCTTAACAGCTTTACATATAAATTTGTATATATAACTGTTAATGTATACTCTTATATTCATTTCACCACAGATATTAGCCCTGCCATTTTTTTTCAATTTTTATATATAATAAAAATATAATACCCTATTTAAAATCAAAAACCGTATATTTTTATCTATTTCTTTAAATTAATTATAAACATGCGAAGTTGTTGATTTTGTATGGGAAATGGGTGGCCCCCACTAGGGTGGCCCCAATAAGGGTGGTTTGACTTATCCTTCGAACAGAAAGAGGGAGTTGTTAAAAGCAGGAATTTCCTGGGTTGCGGATGCGAATAAGTCGTACGCTTTCCGTTGGGAGGGGATATGATATGACTCAATATCGATGGGAAAGCGAATGTTTTTCAGCCCGGCCTTTTGACATGGTGGTGATTCGTTTCCATTTCCCGTCCAAACCGGCAAATCCAAGTAGCTTCCTTCAGCGGCTTCCGTGGATATCGGCCCCAGATCATGGAATGAAGCGGTGTATGTTGCGTCGACAGCCGTTGCTCCTTCTTGAAATATGAAAATTATGATGAGCGGCTAGGTGAAACGTTAGGATACGGCTGTATACCCGATGATTAACTCGAGATTTGTCTTGGGGGAGATACGAACCTTAGTTGGATCAACATCAGGATTGTTGAAAAAAAATGAATAGTTCATGACATCCACTGGTTGGGTACCATTCTTAAGTAGGTGAGTGTTGATTTTATCATAAAGGCCCTCGACTTTATCTCCTGTGAATATGAAACTTTCATATGCCCAATTGGGATGCTGGATATCGTGAATCTTTGACGTGATAGAGGTCACGATGCCGAAGTTGTGGCCAGCGCCGTTCATTGCCCACCAGAGATCGGAGTTCTTGTCGATTATTTGAATAGTCCCATCGGCCAGTACCACATTCATAGAAACAAATTGGTCCCCAATAAGCCCATAGCGTGCTTGGAGAAAACCATGACCACCTCCAAGTCCCGGTCCGAGAATGCTGGTGCATTCGCAACCACCAGTAACTGTCTGCTTTCCTGCCGACCATAGTGTATCCGTAACGGACTTTGATAAAGCTCCTCCGCCAATCTTAGCAGTTAAGCCATCATCTGAAATCTCAACGTTACTTAATTGGTTCATCCAAATCTCAATGCCTTCCTGCATCTTCCCTACAGTTGTTATAGCGCCATGGCCACCACTAACTGCAATATAGGGCACATTCTGCTTATTTGCGTATCTCACCTAGTCGTCGGTAAGTACTTCTCAAATGTAGGTTGTTCTTCTTTGCAGAGAAGAAGCTCACAATCTCCGCGACATCATTTTCAGTTCCTGGAACAGCGGCAACTTTGACTCCAGGGACATCTAGAACAGACCAGCGTGTTGTTGCTCTAGTAAAGCCATCGGAACCCGGAAGATAGACCCGAGCACTTGAAGAAAGCCTCAAGCTAAGTTCTTCTGCATCTATCCGTCGCGGACAAATTCCTCCAAGCCAATCCCTTGCCACCATGCTCTGGCACGTAGAGGACAGAGCCCATGCAGCCACCGCGGGAATTAACTCCATTTTGGGCTCCGCAATCTATGTCCAAGGGAAATATATCAAATGTATGTCATGACAAAGATGTATTAAGGAAATAAATCTTGTATGTGAGGTGGCGTGTCATAAAGGTAGGGCGACTCGAGTGCTTATACAGCCATATACAAATTTATTAGCGCTTACTTATAATTTTCCATGGTAAACCAAGCCCAAGATGCGTGTTGTAACATTGGCTATTCATACAAACCAAGACACTTGGCAGGAATCTAAGATGATTCCGTGCGGTACTACTATCAGATTGGCCAGCAAAACAGATACCTAACATATATCATTTGTCTATGGAGGCATGATAAGAATACTGCGCCGTAAGCTACACGTGTACAGGAGTAAACTTATATGCGAAGGTCATGTATATTATAGTCCTTAATACCCCACTTGTTAACCGCATAACCCGAATACTGACTTCGTTCGTAGCCCACTTAATACGTTAACAGCTACCTAGGTTATATATCTAATGTTTCCTTTCTAACTCCTCTTTATTTTTTTGGATTGTTAACTTAAAGGTTACAGAACCAACCGTGAGAACCGTCGCTACCTCCTTACCCAGTGTCATGAGCCTAGCTAGCTTAGCACCGTCGATGAGTCTGGTCTGCAAGATATTACTATCAAATTCTATGTAAAATGGACTTAATGTTGCCGAGTCGTGTCCTTTTTCACATTGCCATCGACCTTAGGTGTTGATGCAGACTTTTCTTCAACGCCGCCAGTATTACCATCCAGATCTTTGTAGTTCTCCTTTCCATATTCTACATCATCATCATCGTCTTCAATACTTTCAACTTCGTCGTAATCTGCATCTTCATCTTCTTCTACGTCATCATCTTCATCTTCGTTCCCATTAGTGTTCCCTTTATTGTTTTCATCTCCGTCTTCTTCAGATACGTCTTGCTGCCCCCTTTTTTGTTTCTTGGTCTTTTTCCCGCCCTTATTCACCTCTTTGCCTTGTTTATCCTTCGTCTGAAGTTCTTCGTCAACCTCGTCCGAGATAATATCGCTTTCTTCATCCTCTCCTTGCTCGTCATCATATTCTTCAGGATCTTGACCGTTGGCCTTGCGTTTGGTACTGTCATGGCCGCCTTTTTTCTTTTCTTCGATTGTCAATTCCGAGGCTCTTTTGACGACATCATTGCCCGACCGTTTAACTCGGACTGCAGGGTTGCTCGCGTCGGCTTTTCTTTTGACAATGTTCCCGCGTTGCGTCTTGATCTCAATTGACCCTTGCTCCTTCGTTTCTGCCACCGTACCCTCAGGAGCACCACCACCCCAGTTCCAAGAGACTACCATGAATATCATAATTAGCTGTTGAGCTACAATAAGTACCAATTTTTGCTTACCTTTATCTCCCTCTTCTGGCTTGTCGTTTTTGGCCATGATGTTAGGTCAAGGACTGGAACATATAATCTGGATGATGAAAGACATAGAAATTGAGGACCTAAATTGGGGGGAAGAAATATGTCGCATGATTAAATCGCAATTGCTGTCATTATAACTGCTTTGTTTCGTCATGTCGATGATTCATTATCCCTTTAGTGCCAGATTCTCATGCCAGGACTAGGTACAGCAATCTAAAGGGATAGGACGCTGGCATGCGCCACTTATGCGCCTAGAGCGGTTCGGTATTAGAACACAATATCATCGTAGTGATACAGTATGTTCTGTCTTCATCTGTAGTCTAGTAGTTGTACACTACTTGGGGACAAGGCTGAAGATTTGTCAATAATACGAAGCCTACCCTGATAGGTCCATACCTACCTCCTAAACTATCCCATATTATACTTGCCTCAAATAAGGCAAGATGTTTGCAGCATTTTAGTAGCTAAAATTGTCGTAGATATTGTATTAAGGCTCCCATCCCAGAGTATCGAAACCCATTCGATATCAACTTGTACAGTTGCCATTAAGGCCATATTAAGGCCTCACAATAATAGCTCAATCCAGGTTCTTCATCTCATAGTTCTCTTGTCTGTCATACACGTAACCAAACATCTAGCACGCTACTCATTCCCAGGGCATATCACCTTAGGTGGGCATAAAATATAAAACCTACCATTAATTCCATTGATTTACCGCCCTTTAAATATAGGTTTCCTCTTCTCCTTGAAAGCCTCCAAAGCCTCGTCTCGGTCCTCGGTTTTCACCACACGCTCGTACATAGCGTTCTCTATTTCCTCCCTGGCCCAGCTCACTGCCTGAAGTGCAGATCTAACCGCAATCGGACCTCCCTCGCAGATTTCACCTGCTAACCTCACCGCCTCCGAAAGAACCGCGTTTCGTGCTCTAGTTGGTAGTCCGTCTTCTGCTCCGTTATTCGTCTGCGCAACACCATCCCGCTCGTCTTCGGGCAGCACCTCGACTAACCGATCGGCAATTCCTAAAAAGTACGCCTCGGGGGCAGAAACACGCCGTCCAGTCAGAATGATATCCCTAGCGCGAGAGAGTCCAATCAATGCTGGCAATCGATACGTGCCGCCGGCGCCGGGAATTATGCCCAGTCGCGTCTCGGGAAGGCCCACCGTCGCAGTTGAGGCTAATACTCGGAAGTGAGTGCAAAGGGCGAGCTCAAGACCACCGCCTAGCGCAAGGGAAGAGACGGCCGAAATTGTAGGAATCGGGAGAGATGAAAGGGACGAAAATGTGCCACGGAGATCTACTAAGAATTGTGCGGTCCTAGAGCAAGTCAAGCCTCAGGTATTAGTTAAGATGTTAAAAGTTAAGATGTTAAATCTCTGAAAATAACTATATACTGACTCCACTTGCGTGAAGCCGCGCCGCTCTTTAAGATCGGCGCCTGCGCAGAAGCTCGCATCAACGGCGCTGGCCAGGATCAGAGCTCTGGTAGGCCCTTTCTGATCCATACCAGCAGCTCCTCCAAATCGTGGGGGAGGCGGCACTTCTTGGCCCTCTACGGTATATTGCGATTGAACATCTTGGACTTCGGCTCGTAAGGCAGCTAAGAGGGCTTTTGATATAGCATTGCGCGCGGATGGTCTATTGAGCTCGAGAATGCGGATATGACCGGAATTCGGGGCTTTGAGGTTGGTAACTCGAACAAGAGGACCGGCGTCTGTCGAGTAAAGACGGAGGAGACGGATGGCTGAAGGTGCCAATCGAGTATTTAATCGTGGTGGCATTGCGATATACAAGTGGTATATCGGTACCTAGGTAGGTAGGTATATCAGCGTAGATGAGGCGCTGATAAAAAGATGGATGCATGTACCAAAGGAGTGCTTTCGACGTCAGAGTCGACGCTATCTCGGCTCGATAACAGGATTATCGAGGCTATCAACGGGTGATATAGTTAAAGATATATTAATTTATCAGTGTTTTGTATCAATCGAGGTTACCTGCAACTACGGACTACCTTTAAAAACGTCATTTGCCGAATAGACTCGGAAGTTTCGGAGCCCTGTCCAATCAAGGAACCAACTATGTCATCGAGAGTATCTCCACTCCATGCCGACCCGGGGGCGTATTCAAACGCTTAACCTAAGGAAGTGCCCACTTAGGAAGCTATTACCTTCCCGTACCTTCAGTTCAATATTTATCCGGCTTTAAAAATGGCCAGTGATTCAGCGCCGGCGTCCCTTCCCCCGGAGGCTATCGAGTTCGCAGGGCGCATGTACAACGCCGCACGCGCCGGAGAGATTGAGATATTTCAACAGGCCTTACCAGCCGGTCTCCCTCCTAATTTGACTAACGAAAAGGGGGATTCACTTGTATGAAATTATTGATTAGCAACGTTTCTTAATGAGATGACTTCCAATCAATTCAATTTTTACACATAATGCTAATGCTAATGATAAATTGCTTATTTCTAGCTTATGCTGGCGGCTTATCATGGACACGCCGACCTCGTCAAACTTCTTATTCAACATGGAGCTGATCCGAATCGTATTAATGATAGGGGTCAAAGCCCCTTAGCCGGCGCCGTTTTTAAGAAGGAGGATAATGTGATCGAGGTTCGACCTCCATGTCTAGTAATTACCCTTGGAAGCTTACATGATCTAACTTCGTGACGATGTAGGCGCTATTGGAAGGCGGTGCTGACCCAGAGCATGGTTCGCCGTCTGCACTTGCCTGTCTAGCCATGTTTCAACAGGAGGGTCAGTGGGGAGACAAGTTTACATCGGCTCCGGGGAGGGGGAAAGCTGGAAAGCCCGCATCAGGATAGACTGTATCACATCCCCCATGAGCTTCTAGTTTTAAGACAGATCTCGGTATATTCGTCAGTTACTACCTATATAGTGATAAGTTACGAGACGAATAGGTTACAATTCGAGAAAAAGCCCAGTACATATAGGGTAAATCAAAGATAGCGGCGCCCCAACTATGGCTATTTATCTCTCAGTGGTCTCTACGACGACGACGATAATAATAAATATATTTACATCTGTACAGCGGACATGTAGAACATCTAGTGAAAATTATACACTTAATTACCCTATACGCATCTATGGCGTGTAGGACGAGTCAAGTACCAGAGCGGAGCCAGTGTATAGTTTGAAAAAAGAGGAAGTTCACAAAGTCCATATCGCGTGTGGCTATACCCGACGGTTTCCCCGATACGCACAATTAATTTATTACACGTTATGATACGTTAAATCTATAATCAAACCCGCATCTTTGGCCAACACCAACTAGTAATCCTGTGGCAAGTAGGGCTACAGGATGCTATAGGATTTCGTATGCCAGGCAATACCCTATCTCTGTTTCCCTCGAGGTACTCTAGACACTCCACGCGCCATAGGTCCGCTTCGTGTAACTCGGCGTTGTTATATACCTAGGTACCCGGATAATACATACGTCCACATCTAATACATACATCGGATATGGGGTTTAGTCCTGTTGGGTTACTCAATGTGGGTAGATGCCTTAGGTAACCTCAGTCATGCAAGAACGAACCTATATTTAGTAAAGATCCATTAATAGACCGGAAGCACTTTGGCCTAGATATGGATCTAATACGCAGGACGTCTACTAGTTATTATGATCCGCATCTCTCTTAGCGATGAACTATCCGCTACCTGACATACACTCTCGTTTTTAAACCCCGAGTCACCTATTTACCTACCCTTCTTAGCACAATGATTATTCCAACACGCAGACAAGATCCGACTTTGACGGTCCCGGTCCCGACTCCTGGTTGTAGTTATAATGCCTTCCTAGTAAGTTTTATCAAGTTCCGGTCTTCTTGTTCTAAGATGTCAAGTGCTCATGCCACATATAGAGTATTTTATGGACTGGGGCTGGTTTGTCGTTGATATCTGTCTTCCTCCGCCTCATTTCCCGTTTTAGAGGACCACGTCGCCTCTACTGGAACGATGCCTTTGTCATACTAGGAGAAATATTGGTTCTGACCAATGCAGGCTTGTGACAGTGGTCAGCTAAGTTCATGTATTATGTATTGGATGTATCCAACGGCATCGCGCCCCCTGGACCTCAACTTCTTATAGCTATGAGGCACTTCCTAGATGTGCAGCACATTGCCGACGTATTATTCTACACTACTTTAGTCCTTGTCAAGCTCTCCCTTTTATTTTTCTTCAGACGACTCGGCCATAATGTACAGGGACAAAAGTACATTTGGTGGCCGTTCTTTATTTTCTCTTTATTGGTCTATATAATCTCGCTTGGTGATACCAAGTTCACATGCTTTGGCGACCTGGAATTTGCTGCCGGGTGGTGTTCCTCAAAGGATGGCAGTGCCTACCAACTGAACGTAGTGAAGGCAAATATGGCTCTGGATGTGTTCTCCGACTTTCTGAGTAAGGACTGGTATTAGTGAGTATCCCAAGATGTAGGCTAACGCATCAATATCTTAGTTATACTTATACCCTTCACCATGCTCTGGAACGTTCGAATACCTAGGAAAAAGAAGTTGGCATTTATAGCTCTTTTCTCCTTGTCAGCAGTCACTATTACTATTGCTATCATACGGGCTGTTGCTTCCAACTCGCCACTAGATGGAGGCCACCGTATGCTTGAATCTACGACTCTTTGGATGTGGAGTGCGATCCAGGGGTCTCTAGGTACGGTTCCAAACATCATTTACTTTTCTCTCAGCCACACAGGTTTGATTAACATGAATAATTCTTCAACATGCAGCCATAATAGTAGCTTGTTTATCCGCTTTTCCTCAGCTTTTTACTGGATCCACTCCCAAGAAGCCTGTCTGGACGCCGACAGAAACGTACTACCACCGACTAAGAGAGCGTATGAAGACAAAAAGGGAAAATACAGAAGCTTCGTACTGCTTTTCTACTGTCTCTGTTCAAACTACTTCTAGGGTTGAGCCCGCGATCAGCTACCCTGGCAATAGCTTTATGAGGCCAGTTGACAACAGGGTATTGTCTTCTGACAGCCAGTTGCCATGGCTCACACCAAAAGATGAGCAACATAACGTAGCCGTTTCCTGCAGCAGAGAGTTATCAGGCCAAGAAACGGTCGTGCTACATCCAAACCAGATTCAGCATCATGTAGGCTACCGTGTCACGTGGGAGTAAGTGTCAAGGTATCAAGGTGATGTGGGGGATATGGAGTAGGTAGGTACCTGTCATGGAAGGTTAGGTAATTACCTCTTTCAATACGTTTGCTAAAATATGTGGTTGTTAGGCGTATTATTAAGTACCTGCCTATGGGCATCACTTGCAGGTAGTACTTTTATCGTTTTATATTACAACATATAAAGTAATATACCAAATGTACGAAGTCCTAGGCCAAAATTCCTACACTTCTAATCTTGGCAACAAGGGCATTGTAGTGGTAACCCCAAGTTTACCTAGCCCAGCCAAGATGGGCAATACCTTTGACTTATCTAGGCCTCGTATATTATCAAGTCAAATTGTTGCACCAGTTACTTTAAGAACTTCTTTTAATAGCTGCCTCTAAAGTACCTAATGCACGTAACCCAATCCATAAGGATGTTGATGTTGTGTACCTAATCGATAAGTAGTAGGGGGTAGTGACTAATATCAGTTCCGAAAGCCTCAAATCCTTCGACTTTTCTTCACGACTATTTGCGACAAGATTAGGTACTTATGCGACACATCGGTGATCAATTATATTAATCTCTCGAGTGGCTTGACACGGATGCCCCTCCAAATTAATTACAGATATTTCAGCTATGGTCATAGGAAAAGGAATGGGTATGGTAATAGGAAGGGTAATTCCTATGATGTTAACACCAGGGACAGGATTAACCAATAAGATGTCAATTGAAGTTCAGACGATATATGAGCAAAGATTCTTTACTATGAATTGCAATTAGAATATATGAGTTTGGTTCACTCCGTCAAGTTACCTTGGTAAGTATGGCTCAGCTTATCTATTGGGCGTAGCAGTTCAGCAACCCAACCCCCATAAATACGTCAACACAAGCCCGCAGTATTGCTTTAGCTTTCATATCCCCCGCCACGACAGCTAGTACGTCCGCACGGCTCTTTTTTGGGTCACTCTCTAACTCTCGTAAAAGTCCGATGCTAAAAGCAGCATTGAAACATTTGACACATACAAGACCTGGTACGAAATACTAATCCTTGCGCGGGAACTAACATTGAGAATTAGCGACCCCCCGCACCAGTCAAGCCGGCTGCCGGGATCGATATGCAGTTGAGCCAGCATCGGCAGCATCCGTGTAGTGAATAGTGAGGTGAACCATAAATCGTGTTTTAAGGTCTATTGTTTCATCAATATCCTCCGATGAGTATTTCATCAATTCACGGCACGATGGATAAGTAATGGGCACGCTACCAATGTTGTTAATTAGTATGGAGACACAGGCCTTCTTTCTTGACCACGTTTACCACATTCTCTTCTTTGTCTCCTAGTGTAGCCGTCTGCGGATCTAGAACGATCCTTCTAACATGGCTGCGGCATTCTATGGAACTCGCGTCCTCAGGTATTGGCAACACGAGGGCCTTACGAAATCGCTCCCGGCGTCAAGCTTGGTGTCATTGCGTCCGATGAGGATAACGAGGGGAAGCCTGGCTTATATACACGTTCTTGCTAGGATACTACGTACTGTACCTGACAGTAGTGCCTTGACCACTCATTTCACCAAGAAGAAATATTAATTGAGGTCGGATGATCGGACTATTACTGTAAACTGAAAGACGACCTCGTAGTAGGAATCATATATTAGATTTAGGAAAACTATTCCCCGAGGGAATTCGATAAACTATTTAAACATATGTTTAAGCCCCTGTATGGCGCAATGTGGAGATGGACGCAGTGATCATTTGCAGGCTCTGAAAATCCAAATCAACATAAACGTTTGCAAAGTTCCAACAGCTCCTCCCATGACAAGCTTCTTCGTGGTTCAATACCTCTTGCTCGGTATGAGCTTTATAGACTTGTGCACCACTCCTCTGATCAATCTCTTGTGCCACATCTACCCTGCCTATTATCATATAGGGAGGCCCTGATCCGGATGTTTCTTCCATAGTCGTCTTCGTCATGTCTGTCGCCATGGGCCGCGTGATAATAGCAGCGTCGCAGCCCCAAAACTGTATGGTAACATCACCGGGCTTTGTCACCGATGGAACTAGTGCAATGAGGCGGTTGGTGCCGAGGCAGATTCTGGGCCCGAGTCCGATATCAGAGCCTCTTTCTCGGCATACCTGACTCCCTTCCCAAACTTTAGCGTACTCGGAAAGGTACCGACGATTATCGGTTCGAGGTTTGCTATCTGCGATAGGCCACGCTATAACATCAGGATGCTTGATCTCATGAATCCTCATCAACTGGTCATTGTCATATTCTATAGTTCTAGCCGTGTAATTCTCGCCAGCTTTTCTAATATACTGCAGGTCAGGCTCATGATAATAGTCGCCATAGCAGTCCTGCCATTCTCGTTCGATTTGGGGTGATTCGATGAGCGACTCGAGCTCTGGACCCAGTCGTAAGACTCTACTGCTCAAGAATCCTATCGCTCTAATTACCGGATAGCCCTATACATAGGTGAATGACTCTGAGTTAGCCTTAATAATTCTCGGTCTGTAAGGAAATTAAATGGAGATTGGCAACTAAGTAAGGGGAACTTGCTTGAGGTCTATCCAGATCCCCAATTTCCTTCTCGACCTGTTGGCCGAGTGCTTCTTGAACTATGCCTGAGACTTTTACCACAGTGATGTATCTCTCGGTCTACATAGGAGATACGCCATTCTCAATCTTATCAATAGGGACATTGTTGAATTTAATGCCAAGTAGCTCATTATTTCCCCGGGCTTGGAAGTATATATACCTAACCACATCAGTCCAAATATCGTATAACGAGCGATCGTAGTCGACTTCAGGTGGCCTTGTATTTTTCAGGAGTTGTAGTAAACCCCCATCTTTAAGATGCCATGACTCGGAATGTCGTTTGACTTGATCAAGTGGCTGGTCGGTGGTACTTGGAGTACGGATATCATTAGCAAGCCCGAGTAGCCCATATATCTTGTCCCTTATTTCGGAGCAGTCTTTTCTAACACAGCTCTCGATGAGACTTTCTAATCTCGTCATAGGGGTGTGCCTCTTCTCCCTAATATCCAACAAGGTAAGCATTTCTTGGAGTTCATTCGTCAAACCTTTTCCTGATTGTTGTAGTATCGAATGTTCTTCTTTGAACGCCTCTAATTGCCTTAGAGCCTCGTAGGTCCAAATACTAGATCCGTGCATAAACACCAATCGTATAGGACAACGAATATGGGATATGGCTTTATCGCCTGAAAGATTGTTGTTGCACGGTTGGACACTTGCCAGATGGTTATTCTAAGTCTGCAGCACGCCTTGCAGTGGCCAGGCGGCTGTTGTAGGGCTAAAGCATACCTTTGATTTCTCTTTGCGTCTAAGGTATACGCACAACCCGACTGTTATCAGCAGAAACAGAATACCAGTACGAAGGCCGACTTTCAAGTTTGCCTCCAGTACATCCGAGAAGTCAACGAACCCCCCTAATCGAGTTTCAGAGCGCGACACTGCCATTGTTGCTCACAAACTTCGTGTAGCTGAAGAACAGGCTTCGGGGTTGGCATCAATAAAATTGGAATTTGATATGCAGGGAAAATATGAAAGATGCTTGACAATATTTAACATTTAACACTGGCTGTGGACTAGGAAATATACCCAGGGTGGCATGTTTATAGGGCGGTAAGGCGCCCTAGAGCCCAGCACCCAATCACAGAATTCTCATATGAATATTTGAAGAGATAAAACTCAAAATAGCGAGTGAATGTTAAATGTGGTTACAAAAGGGGGGGTTGTAGGCGATTTGTGACTGGAGCTGAATCACTGGTTTGCATTCACGCGTATCAAGCTTCAATTTACGAATCATTTTTCTCGATATTCCTCGCCGACTGTATCATGCCTATCTATAGTATGGATAACGGCAGATTTTGTTATATTTAATGTAAGGTATCGAGTATGTACAGTGGGCGAGGCGGTAGCCTACAGCTTCCCGTGTCACCACCACAGATTGAGTGCGGTAAGAGCACTTCTATTAAATTAATAGACTTACACTTTCTACCTAGATACCTCCTAAGATAATCAGTTACTCACCTAAGGTACCCGTCGCCTTAGACTGTCGAATTGATTATCCTGTTAGTCTGAATTTCAGCACATCAAACCATACTTGGTAGCGTCCCTCGTCACTCACGAGCTTTCGCAGTCCCACATAATAACCCGATCCAACATGATTGAGAGTTTTTTGAATAACGTCAATAGCCTGGGTACAGCAAGTTTATTGTCCAGGCTAAAAAGTATTCAAGGCTTACTTGAGCGATTGAGTGGCTCAAATTCTGAGTCGGAAATGACGGGTTTACTCAAGCAGGTTAAAGACCTTGTTGATATCACATCAACATTAGATAAACTAGTAACTAGGGAGCGACGGAATCCTTCATTGAGTCTGCAGCCCCTTTCGGAGAGCGACCAACTCCATCTGTGTCGCATCTGTACCGAGACGGCTGTGATTACGGATGAATTCATCGAGCTCCTTGAACCACTAGAATCTATCCTCAAAGAGTTTAATCACTACGAAAGCCACTTAAGGGGCGAGAAGTGGTATGATGAAACATTGCAGGCGTGGAAACTTCGCACGGAAGCTTTGCGAATGCTCTTCTCAGCGATTACTCTCCTCTACCACAAGAATAACACCGATGAAAATGGCAACTTATCCGCCGAAACGAAGGCTTGTGCATATAAAATCGACCACCAAGTCCAATTGATCGAGTCAGAAATCCGTAGGGTCGATGATCATGAATCAATTAGAGTATTTCCCCCTCATATCAACGTCGGCCTTAGATCATATAGCTAATTAGTTTAAGATCAGAGACGCCGTCAAGGTTGTAAGCGACCTCAAACTGCATCTCCCATTATATACGAATAAACATTATATCCTTAGAGGAGCCAACTCGTTTTACACTGGTCGAAAACCCCAAATGAATGTATTGAGAGGCGCGTTCTGCAATCAAACCTATTCCGGCCAGAAGAGATTCGTCATATATGGCTCAGGAGGCTCCGGAAAGACGGGACTAACGCTTAAGTATGCGGAGATACATCGGAATGACTACTAGGGTGTATTTTTCATCGATGGTTGTTGTTGTTATTGTATATTTAACGTTAAAGGTATAAAATGCCAGGCCTCCTTAAGGGCATGCGGTATATAAAACTATTTAGGTTTATATATACGATATATTCTTAATATCTTACAATTTAAACCCGAAAATATACTATATTTAAACCGTTTCCGTTTGTTTTACCTTTTAAATTTATATTTAATATTATAATATTTATAATTAATTCTTTTACAGGGAAATAAGTTAAGATTTAAATATAAATATAAATATTATAAAAGATAGGTTTTATTTAAAAAAATAGTAGTTTTAATTTTAATTTTTTAAAATACGTTTAAGCTTTATTCGAAGTTATTTATAAAGTTTAATACTAGATTTTTTTTTTAATTTAGTTTATTAATATAATTAAAATTAAAATTATATGTATAATTCTTAAAATAAAATAAAAAATATTAAATAATAGAAAAGTTAATAGTATAGGGTTATAAAATTTATTGCTTTAAGGTTGTTACTTCGGGGCGGTTTTATAGGTTGGTAGGTTATAATTATTAATTGGTTATTTTTTTTGGAAAGATATTAATAGGCAATTTTAAAATAATACATTAATATAAAATATAATTTAATATAATTTATTTTTAAAATTATAACGTTTTAATATTATTAACGTTTACGTTTTTTATAAAAAAAATTTTAATTATAATTTTATAGGTTTTAACAAATAATATTAAACTGGTGCTGGTGTATCAGGTGACTTTGATCCTGATCATGTGATCATATTCTTAGTATAAGTACCATTTATGGTCGCACACATCCATTTTACATAGTATCATCTACTTTTAATACAAGTCATTCCTTTTCATCATCAGTTTCATCATCTAAAAGTCCTTGATATCAGGTCTAATAGGGCTTGATCCAAGGCCAAGACGTCTAAGTCTTGTTCAATATTTACTTATAAGTTTTAATAAAATTTTTTCGGCTTTTATATTAGTAATAAATTTTTTTAAAAAATCGTATATTTTTAAAGAATTTATCAAATTATATTAAATTATTTAAAAGTTATTATTAATAATTTTTTTATATTAAAGGTTTTAATTTAATTATTAATTATTTTTTTTTTATAACTACCGTTTTTTTATAATATATTAAATATTATAAAGTTTTAATTTTATTACATAAACAATTAACGTAATTTTAATATACAAATTTAGTATAATATTAATAAAAATTATTATATTTTATTTTTATTGCTAAAAAATAATATAATTAAGTTTTTAAAAAGATTTTAAATTTAAGTGGGTAGGTTATTTTGGTTTTAAACTAAAAATATATATATATTTATATATTATTATTTAATACTTAATTTTATTTAATCCATTAATTCTTAAAAAGTTTATTAATAATTTTTTTATTATTTTTTTTATCTTTACTAATATAGTTAATATATTTATAAAAGGTTTAAATAAAACAGCATTTTCTTTTATAAAAGCGTTGGTTTTTTTATTATTTTTAATATTTATATATTTAAGTAATTACCAAATTTTAACGTTAAATATTATTATAATATTATAGAATTTTATAAAAATTTATTAAAAATTTTTAATTGGATTTTTTTTAAAATTTTATATTATTAATATATTATTAAAATAAACATATATTACGTTATTTTAATAGATTTTTATAACATATTTAAGGTTATACTTTACGCTTTTTATTTTATTATTAAATATTTTCGCAATATTTAAATATTTTTATTTATAGGTAATTTTTTTATATTTTTAGTATATTACATAATTATAATTTATATTACCGTTTTTAACTTTTAAATTATTTAAAAAAACGATTATATATGTGTTTAAAAGTTAATTATATTATATTTTAAATTTTTTAATAACTTTTTTTTTATTTTTTTCTATTATATATTATTAGGAATTTAACGCATAGCGGGGAAATAAGAATTTGGATTTTAAGAAGTTTAGAAGTAGTTTTATTATTATTTAAAATTTTATTTTATTTTTTTAAAAATTTTTAATACTTTTATTTTTAAATATAAATATTAATTTTAATTTAAAAATTAGGGGATATTAATAATTAATTATTTTAAGTTTAAAAGTAAATTATAAATAATATTTTTAAAATATTATAATTATTATAAGTATATTAGAATTTTTATAAAGGTATAAAATTAGGATTATTTTTTATATTAAAAAAATAACTTTTATTATTATTTTAAATATTTTATTTATTTTAATAAAGATATTTTTAATAAGCGTATTAATCTTTTATTTGTTAGTTTATAAATTATTTGTAAAGATTTTTTTAAATTTAAGATATTATTAAACTGGTATGGTGCCACATCGCCAAGAGCAAGGGTATTATTATGTAATCTTAGGTTACAAGCCATATAAAGGTTTAATATTTGTTGTATTCTTCTGATTAAATAGCTACAATTATTACTATTTAGTTATGCATTTAATATAGATATATTTGTTATTTTCTTATATTTATAACTTATAGTTCTATTTTGCGTATTTATTTTATATATTTTATCCGATTAATAAATTCTTATAGTTTTTCTAAAATATAGTGTTATTATCAGCTGTTTAAGGCCTTTTACGAGGATCTAAACGTTGAAGTGATATGCTATATTCTGTAAGAGATACCAACTCCTGTTCATTATATTTCCGCGGCGTATATTAAAACCGATATAATATATAATATAATAATTTTTTTAAGGGAGTTTAAAGGAAGATTATAAATAATATTGGATAAATCTTTAATATATTTTACTATAACGTATATTTACATTATTTTTTTATTTATATATTTATTAAAAATTAATTATTAATTAAATTAAATATTTAATTATTTAAAAATAAATATTAAACAAGACTTAAACGTTTTGGCCTTGGATCAAGCCTTATTAGACCTGATCTCAAGGACTTTTAAATGATGACTGATGAAAGAAAAGGAATGACTTGTATTAAAAGTGGATGATATTATGTAAAATGGGTGTGTGCGACCATAAATGGTACTTATACTAAGAATATGATCACATGATCAGGATCAAGGTCACCTGATACACTAGCACCAGTTCAATATTTATATTTATTATATAATAAAATTAAAGTTTAAGGTTTTAATTTTTAAGACGTAATTATTTTTATTTTTTAAAAAATATATAAATTTATATTTTTTTAAATTAAATTTAATTTTATTTTTAGATTTTTATTAAAAGATTTAAATAATGTTTTTATTAATTTATTTAATAATAATTTTTTAATTAAAATTTATTTTATAAAATATTATATTATTTATATAATTAAAATAAAGCGTAGTATTTTATTTAAATAATTTGACCATATATAATAAAAATAAAATAAGGGATAAAAGTAAACTTTATAAAAAATTATAATTTAATTTAAATTTTTTTATAATATAATCTTTTAATCAGATTTTAATTATTTAATTTTTTAAAAAAATTATTATTAATTTTAAAAGGTTTTAAAACTAACTATATTATATTATATGTAATATTAAGCGTTTACGAAATATTAAATTAAAAGTGTTTATAATATTTATTATAATAAAGATTTTAAATTTCTTCAATTTTAAAATATATTTAATTTTATAAATTAAATATATAATTAAATTTATAATTAAACGTTTAAGAAACGCTTTGGTTTATTAATGGTTAATAATTTTATAATTTAAAGTAATATTAACTATTTATTTTATTATTATTTTTTTAAAGCCTTTATCGAAATATAATAAGAAAGCAATTGGTTTTTATAACCTAATGTTAATATAATTTTTTTTCTTAATTTTCTTAAATATTATTATTTTAATTATTTTAAAAGGTTTAAGGTAATATTTAATTCTTAGGTAAATTTAAAAAAATTATTTTATTAATTTTAAAATGTATATTTATATTATGTTAAATAATTATATTAATATATTATTTATTCTAAACGTTATATTTTTAATAAAAATTATAATTATTTTAAATTTTTTCGGGGATATATAAAAATTTTATAATAACGTAGATTTTAATCTTAATTTATAATAGGTTTTTAAAAAGTTATAATTTAAATTATTTTTAATTAAAAATCTTTTTAAAATAATTTTTTAAAACGTTTAAACTTTATTTACTATAAATTTTACTATTATATTATTAATTATTAAAAGTAGTAAAAATATATTTAATTATAATTTATATTAATTTATAAATTAATTTTATTTATAATTTTTTACTAATATAATTTCTTAATTTTCTTAACTTTAGCCTTAAATATTTTATATTTTATTAAGTAATTTAAAGTATTTTATGTATGTTAAGTTATTTTTAATTTTTTTAAGATTTTTTTATATTTTAAAATTTATTATATTACATTAAAATTATTGGTTTTAATAAGTTTACTAATTGTTTTTAAGATAATATCTAATAAATTTATGATTTTTTAAATGGTTTAATCGATTTTTTCTATTATTAAGGTATTTATAATAATTGGTAAGGATACGGTTTTTATACCTATTATATTAATAAAATTTTTTAGTTTATCTTTAAAAATGGTTAATTTAATTTAATTAAGGGATATATTTTTTTTTATTAAGATTATTATAAGTATTATAATATGGTTTGCCCCGGGGTAGAAAATATTATTTATTATTACCTTTATAAAAAAAATATTTAAAAAGGTTAAGTTTAAAACGTTATTTAATTTATATATAACTTTACCAATTTTTCTTATATAAGAAAATTTATACGTAATAACTTATTATATTATTTTATTACCGCTATTTAAGTATTTTATATATCTTGATTACCATATTGCATTTTTTACGTTAAAATTACTTATTATTACATATACGCGTAACAGTGTATATTTTAAAAGGGTATCGATTATCCCTATTTTTTTAAACTTTTTTAATTATTAGTATATATTTACAAAAATTAATTTATTAATTTTTACTTATATAATATCTTTTGAAACCTTAGAAAAGGTTTACTAGGTTTTAATTTTAAATAATTTCTAAATATAAGTTACTATTTTAAAGCGATTTTTATTTAACCCTTAAAAATGAATAACCGAAAAGGTTTTATAATTTATATAACCTTTAACTTTATAAATATCTTTACCATTCATTAATATTTATAATTTTTATATTATAATTATATTAATATTTTATTTATTATAAATTATTAAAAAAATTAAATTTATTAAATTACTTTTACCAACATTAATTTATATTATATATAATATTTTAAACTATAATATTTAACTGCGGCGTTTACATTACTTGCTTGTTTTCGAAGATTTTATAAATATAAACATAAATATAATTTATATCTATTATACCGCTTTTTTTTAAACAGTTATTAAGTTTTAAGGACTATTCTTCTATTATAACTTCTTTTATAATTATATCTTTATTTAATATTATTTTATTTATAAAATCCTTCCTTTTATTAAATTATTTAATAGTTTAAAAAGTTATATTAAATTACATATTAAATTTAACGTTTAAATATAAACTAATATTAAATTGGTTTATAAATCTAACAACTTTAAAATTATTTTATAACCTTTATATTCTTAGTTTAAAAATTAAATTATTTGTAATTATAGTTTAAATTTACCGTTAAATAAACGCTTAATCCGTCATGAAATCTATTAAAAAAAGATTAATTTTTTTATATAACCTTATCCCTACAACTCATATTTTACCAAATTTACGTTTAAAAAGATATATTAATATATAATTTTTTTTATTAATTTAATTAAACAATCTTTATAATCTGCTAATTAAAATTTATAATAATTAACATAACACAATAATTTTATATATAATAAAATATATTTAATTATTAATTAATCGTTACAATTATTACATTTAACTATTTTTAAACAATATTTATTTAAATATTAACCTTAATATCTCAAATTATATTTAATAACTTAAACTTTCTTTTTAATTAAGTAAAATAAAACGTTATTACCGAAAAATCTAAAAGGTTTAATTTTAATTAAAAAGAAAATTATTTAAGTTTTTTTTAAAGATCCAACGCCCCGTTTAAAAAGGCGTATATTAATTAAAATAACGCCTATTTAAGCTTTTACCTTTTTTTAATAATTTTATTTATACTAATAATTTCTTTATCGAAGATATATAATATAAATAAATATTTAAAAATAATATAATTAAACCATTTAATTAAAGATTTAATACATTCCACATTAATAACCCATTCAATAATATCTTTATTATTGAAAAATTTCTATCTAATTTCTTTATTTTTAAACCTAATAATAAAATTTATAACAATTTTATAAATATTTAAAATATTTACTAAAAAAAATTTTAATTCTTTACAAATAACATTTTTAAAAATATAATTGGTTTATATTTTAACCTAACTTAACCTATTTATAAATAAATAAGTTAAAAAGTAAATATCCTCTTTTTATATACTTAAAATTAAATTTTTTAAATTTAAAATTATATTTAAAATAACTAATAATATTATTATATTATTACTTTTTAAAACTATAACATATATATTAATTAATTTATCCAATTTTAAAATAAAATTTTTAATTTCTAAAAATTTAAAAACATTATTTAATAATATGTTTAATTAAAAATTTATATTTTAAATATTTACGTAAAAAATTATAAAATTAAAAAAAAATTTTAACAAATATTATTAAATATAAATAAATTAAAAAATGTTATATAATTTTTAAAGTTATAAAATATTTATCTTCTATACATAAAAATACCATATTATTTAAAAATTTAACTATTAATATTAATATTTTATATTAATTATTTATTTTATAATTAATTTTAATAAAGGCGGTAAATAAAACGTTAGTTATTATACCGCCGTTATTATTATATTAAACGGAGATTAAAGCGGTAGATTTTTTATTATACCGGTTTTAAGTTATTTTTCGAATAATTGGAAACTTTCTCTAATTTCTTAAATTTAAAAGTAATATCTTTATTTAAAAATTTATTAAACGTTTTTTTTTAAAGGGTTATATAAGCATATAATAAATTTCTTCTAATGTTGGAGAAGTATTATTAATAAGGGTTTAAATAGTTGGGTTTTTTTTATAAGGTATTATAAAAGGTTAGGTGTTAATTATTACAGTTTATACCAATCCGGTTTGGTATTTAAGTTTGATAAATAGAGCTATTAATAAGTTATAGGTTAGGTTGCCTTGACGTATTAATAGTAGGTATTAAGAAGTAATAAATTAAAGGGAAGGTGTTTTCATTGATGGTAACAATAAGGATAGGGTATTTAGTAGCTATGCCGAGATTGCAGCCATTGGTGGAGTTGGGCCAAACGAAAAGGCTGCTAAAAATTGGCTAACCACTCACACTCTTCCGTGGTTACTTATCATTAATAATGTTGATGAAGAACAAATTCAACTTCAAGACATGCTACCGCCGGGAGAAAAGGGATACATATTAATCACATCCCGCAACCCAGCCCATAAGAGATACGGTACCGTCGGCGAAAGATACTTGGAACTGCATCCCATGGAGAAAACGGAGGCTAATGAATTTATCCTCAAGGCAGCGGAGGAGCCGAGCCCATGGTCCAAGGCAGTCATGGACTACGCGACTACCATTTGTGATGCGTTGGGTTTCTTACCGTTAGCTTTAGTACATGCAGCCAGGGCTATTCTGGAAGGCATTTCCGACTGGAAAGGATATCTGAATACTTATAACAAATATATCAATAAGATCCGTCGTGATTACCGCCATCAAAACAGGAGTCGATCGAACTCTAAGTCATATCTCGACAAAAGCATGAACGTTTTCTCATCCTACGAGATCTTATACGACTCGTTGAAAAAGCCGGAACAAGAGTTCCAGGATGCAATCGACCACTATCCATGATCCTCCGGGAGGCAGCATTTTGGCTGAAGCGAGAATACTTTTGGACTCCCCTACCTCTACCCGCGGCATTGAGGAAGCCGAATAGCATGTCCCAAGCTGCTTTCGAAGGCGAGGTGCGCATTCGGCTTACTAAAGCACTAAGTATTGTCACGGGGCGATCACTCATTATAAGACAAGATAGACTTGAAATTGGCCGGTACAGTATGCACCCGCTGGTTCATAAGTGGCTTAGGGAGCGCCCCGAAATATCGATATCAGAGCAATCACTCTGGTGTCAAGTCGCGGCGACCACTTTGGCAAGGAGTATTCCTCTGCCTCCTCTTGGAGAGACGGAGATTGAGAGGCAAATGAGACGCGAGCCCCTTCCCCATGCTCTCTACATTCGCGAACGCCGAGAGGAGATTAGAGGGATTATAATAGAATACCAAGATCCTAGGAAGTCAAGTTGGCGGAAAGCAGATGGTGATTTCCGTAGGGTACAAGCTGACGAGTCGGGACGCTTAAGCCGCATGTACTACGACTGCGGTTTGTACCGAGAGGCTAGAGAACTTCAATCCAAAACGAGAGAGTGGATTATCCAGCAGCTTGGGGAGGATCACCAGTTCCCTATCAGACTCACTCTATTCCTTTCAGAGACCCTCCGATTGTCGACAATGATAGATGAAGCGACCAAGTTGCAGCACCGTGCTCGTCAGTTATGCGTAACTTCGTTAGGCGAAGACCACCCATTGACATTAGAAGTGACAGAAATATTAGGGATGACACTTTGTTTTAAAGGTCGATGGGCAGAAGCTCTTAGCATACACGAGAAAAACGTGGAAAGACTTAGCGAGGTGTATGGACCAAAACACGAAAAAACATTGAAAGCAATTCGGAACTGTGCTGCCGTGGACTATCGTAATATGGATTACGACAAAGCTACAGGGCGGCTACAGATGGCCTGGTAAAACATGAAGGAACTTCTAGATGAGACCGATGCGGAAACACTGTGGTTCCTTCAGGACCTAGCGACAAGTTATCTACGATACGATGATGAACACTCCGCCAAGGCATCACCGCAGCAGCTTCTTCAGAGCCACGATCACTTAAACTTCATCACCAAGCAACGCCAGGAGACCCTAGGGGAGGAACACCCCTTCACTCTCCTTGCAATATTACATTTAGCTCGATTGAAATCTTCATTAGGGAAACACGAAGAAGCGAAGAAGATCATGGACGATAACTTAAAAATTGCCATACGAAATCATGGAGAAGATCACATCGCAGTAATAGCCGCAAAGACACACTACACCAACATACTCGTAGAGCTTAACCAATACGAGGAAGCGGAGCAAATATTCAATCTAGTCACGCAGAAAGCGCGATGCAAATTGTTCACAGATGAGGATGGCGACCATCCGGATCGGATGGTCGCAATGTGGTTCCAGGTCAAATGCTTAGACAAGCAGGGTAAACCCGCGGGTGCGTTAAGATTATGCGACAGTATCCTTGTGGCGCTTAGAGATGTAGGTGGAAATAGGCTCGGTTTGAACCACAAGATTGTTAAAATGGTAGAGAGGAAGAAAGCCGAGCTAGTTCAACAGATCAGTCCCATTGACTGATTGGATGGTATTCCCAGCCGGCGATAACACGAGTCATCTATTCATTTCACTTTACCAAGAAAGTGACTCGCCTTTGAAGATGCACACAGGCATAGGAAAATCTCTCAGATGAGAAACATGGATGAAAAGAAGCCATTTCAGTTAGGTATCGCTTTCAGTTTTCTGTAAGCTAAGTTCACTCCTATGCTCCTTTCCCATGACCAATGAGTATTGTCAGAATTGATCAGATATAACAGGGACTTATCTTGACATTAGAAACTTTTAAACCAAGTTAGTTTCCCAGAGCTAAATATGCTTCGTTTACACTCCGAGTCCGCCACTCAGCAGGATGCCGAAAATGGTGCAGTCAGGCTAAATAGCGGTCGGCGCCATTGCCAGGGCTGCGTGTCGGCTTCTCACGCGCAGACTGCCTGCTGTATCATTACCATGAAAGATCCAGACTTCGGCTCGCGCACCAAGACCGCAAATATCGAAGGCTGTTACTTAGCACAGCAGAGTGTACCACCAGCTATCACTACCGGCACCGAGTTTGATGCCGGTGGCTAGAAAGCAACATCTAGCGTACCGGACCAGGCTGGTATTCTGTCCAGGTTAGGTCACTCGTCGAGACCGGTACTTCAACCAGTAACCACAAGACAGACCCCTGAGACAATTGCTTTAGAAATAGCTTTCCCCAGTACCCCAACATTTGGCTCTGTTACCAATACAGACCATCCAACATCGACGGCTCGGTCAATCAGCCCTACGCCAACCTCAGCCGGAAGCAGTGGGACGCCAAAGATATTCGGGCGTAGGCCTATAGTTGTATCCTTCCTGTTAACTGTTAAACTGTTAATATTGTTTATATCATGATTCTAAACTTGTTAGAATTCTTATCGGGTGGAATTCCATGGGGTTTAAAAAAAACTATTGTGTGCTTGCATAGAAAGTTGTCGGTCCACGTCTCCACGGGACTCCTTAATTATATCAATCGAGATGGCCAGTAAAGAGTCGTCTATCTCGTGACTTTCATCGCACAGTTGGCATAATTTCCTTGAGTGTTTGCTTCGCTAATGATGCGTCTCTTTCGTATTACAGAATATACCAATTCAAGAGCCAGCGCAAAACTCCTATCCCACGCAAAAGGGACTCATAAATGAGTTGCTTGATATAGTTATTCAACTATTCCCAGAATCAATCTGAAAATGTCTAGAAATCCGACAAATATCGACGTATTTGGGCGTCTCAACCTCGATGATATATTAGCCAGGTTCTCCGCATTTAATTGTGGTGTCGCTCGGAGCCAAATGCCCCTATCTTCGCCAAGTCTATGAGCACCTTGTCTACCTACCTAATACAGCAGGTAGCAGTGATAAGAGCCAAAATATTCTAGTTAATTTCGGGGTTTCTCTCTAGTATTTGACCACAGTAGTGGAACAAGGCTAGATGGTTGATCGGATTGCCGGGCTGAATATAGGTACCTACGGTGACACTATGAGGTCCCCATCAACGCGCCAAGCCATTTTACGATCAGCGAATACGATCGACGTGAGCGTACCTTATGTCGTGCTCACCGCAGTTGCATTAATACCTGCCATGCCCCGAAAATCAGGGTCTTATCTTTTAATCCCCTTCCCTCACGTCCTTCATCATTGAGGGCGCGAAGATACTAGCCCAGCGTCATATAGACAATGCAACTTAAGAAAGCTGGTAAATGCCGCCAGGCGGTCTCTATGACCGTCTTGGTCAGCGCTGTCCTGTCGGGTCATACATGGGCTGCACCGTATACTCTACAGAGCGATCCGTTCAAGGTGTTGGATCCGCAGAATTGGGTAAATCCCGATAACATGACCTGGGCAGATTACAAAACACCTCCGGGGACGTCCTGGTCTGATCCAAGCCGTAAAGGTTCCGTTCGAAATTTCAATATTGCTCTCGTGGCCGTTGACTACCCGGACGAGCCCTTCGTCATTACGCGGGCGCCAAACTCGACCGTTTTCGGCAACCCGCAGCTAATCGTATCTGGTCTCGACCGTACGGAGGTCCCGGCCTTTTATCGTGATTTTCTAAACAAGCCCAGCGACCTCAATCACAATCACACTCTCCATGAGTATTGGATGGAGGATTCAGGTGGGCGATTTGGAGTGGATTTGACAGCTTTTGGTGCTTATCAACTGCCCAGCCGTTCATATCAGTATGGTATTGATGATGAGCGGGGCGGATTCAACGAGGGTGCTTGTCCATCTGAAGGGCCGTGTTCTATAGACCTGCGAACAGACGCTCTAGGAGCCTGGCGTGCCGACGTAGGTAGCGACACCGCCGATTCCTTTGAGCTAGTCTTCATTCTCTCGGCTGGTCAAGATGAATCTTCCACATGGCAAGAGTTTGGCGAGATGAAATTCCTCACTCCTGAGGACGTGCCAGACGAGTTCGGGCCTCCGGGTGATGACAGTCTCCCCAATTATGCCGCAACGAGATACGTGAATTGGACATCTTGGCAGGCGGCGAGCGTAATCTGGCCAAATGCGGGCGGCGGCTCGTCCACGCAGGGAGAAAGCTCGGGGATGTCTACCTACGCCCACGAATTAACTCACTTGCTAGGTATCGGCGATAATTATAACAACCCGTATAGCGACCCGCCGCGTCGCGCTTACACGGGCCCTTGGTCGATGTTATCCCGAGGCAGCTTCAATGGTCCGGGCGGCCCGCACACACGATGGCAGATTCCAGCAACTCTTGGCGGAAGCTTGGGCTCCCTTCATACCGTTTCGGATAAGCTGCGCATTAATCTAGCTGACAACTCGAGCGTGCTTGCGGTCTCGCGTGAGGCTTTATCCAGCTCTGGCCCCGTAGTTGCTGAGATCACCGCGAGATGCATCAATCCAGGAGAAGGGGAATTGTTAGGTTTGCGCGTCATTCTAGGCAAAGATCTTTCTCCATTCTGCAACATCAGCACCGATGCTCTTTGCGATGGTGGCCGTTACAACAACTACGATATCGAAGTCATTGACAGAATGGGTGCCGACTCGTTTACTCCTGACTCGGGAGTCATGATCAGCAAGACTAAGGATGTTGATAGTGCTCCTTTCCAGTGGACAATCGATGCCAACCCGCAGGACATCGATGTCATTGACTTCTACCGACCCGATGGCACAGCCTCCAAGCTGACCATTGGCGACTATCGCCAACTAGCCGATGCGTTGTTCCATGCAGGCACACGATCGGGTAGTGAGTATGAATACACCGACGAAGCGAATCGGTTGCATTTCTACATCATTAACATCCGTCGCGACAACGTTGGCATCCTTCACTACACTGTGGGTGTACGATCGCTTGACGGTAGCGGGCCTAGCACCCACAGCGTGGATCTAAGTGAGGGTCGAATTGCAGAGGGACCGAGAGCTAGGGCCAGCGTTAATGGGGTGACATGCGCGTTCCGCTTAACCAATTCTGGCACATACGCGGACAATAACGCGGCGCATCCCCAAGATCTGTCCGCATATCTGAACTCAGATATATATCGACTCAGCGCCGAGGTAGATGGCGAGGGGTGGCGTGTCGAGGTACCAAACGCGCTGACAACTGCTAAATTCGGCTCGTCGAGTACGGTCAATGTAGCTGTTGGTGCTGCAGTAGAGGCCGTGAATAGTGCAGTTGTTAGATTAACAGCTACTTCTGAATCCGACCCGACTATTTCCATCACCAAGGAGTGCCAGGTCAAGAAGTGAGACAGCTCATGGAATAAATATAGGTAGTCATTCTCCTTTACATATAGATGAATAAGATATAAACATCATTACCGTACCATTGCTACATACTGAGAATCATCATAAGATTCTCCTATCATAACCCCTCGTCTGTATGATCATCGTTACTTTAAACGCTCTACTTAAGAACTACGTCAGTAACTAACGTTCTAGACATCATCCAACCTGACATCCTTCTATGACTGAGATTATTTGTCTCGGTTGAGATCATTGTCATGTTCTATATAACTTCCTGGGTTCTGATCATCTTGTCGAGCGACGTTACCCTGACGTCATGGATTTACTAGCAAACCATAAAGATCACGACATCGTCGAACGAAGAGTGTGTAGGTTACATAGTCCAGTATCCATTTAGCATTTTCTATAACCCTAATATTACTATCTCATCTTACGATAATGTTCGGTTCAAGCAACACATTCGACCCCAACACCGACGTGCCAAACCTGAGCGAGAAGGTCTTCGTAGTGACAGGCGGCAGCGCGGGCATCGAGTATGGAATATCGGCACATATCCTGCAGCACGGTCCCGCAAAGCTGTATCTTCTCGGAAAGAAAGAGGAGCACCTAACTGAAGCCGAAGAGGATCTCAAAAATTATGGCGATGTCTCACGTGTCGAATTTATCAAGTGCGAGCTCGAGGATCTTAGGCATACGGATGAGGTAGCGCGAAACTTAGCATCGAAACTTGATCGTCTAGATGATCTTGTTCTCAATGCCGGGCTCGGTGTTGGGAAATACAACGAGACTAAGGACGCTCCTGACAGCCATATGCAAGTCAACGTGATCGCACAACACCACCTCGCGCGAGTTTTGCTTCCGAAACTTATCGCAACACGTAACAGCCGACTATGCTTCCACAATCTTCTGAGATGCACCGCATAGGCACCAGCGGTGTCGAGTTTAGGGACGTCGCGGAGATAAACCAGGATATTGGGCCTACTAAACTATACTCGCGCTCTAAACTTGCGCAGGTGCTACTATGCAGGGCATTCAATCGACGCAAGCAGCGTGGCGAGCTAGGTCTCGCGCCTGGGATGGGGCCATGGATTAATGCTACGCACCCTGGCGGCGTGAATACAGATCAGCCAGATCAGGCTCTTGACGCATACAGAGCCGTCGGCAGTATACCTATTCAGGCCGCAAGGCCGTTCATGAAGGAGCCGGTTGAGGAAGGGTGTCAACCCATATTGTTCGCAGCAACGAGCGATGCCGTCGCGGAGGGGAATATCGATGGACAGTATATCATACCAGATAGGAAAGTTTCGGATGTTAGCAATCAGGCCAAGGATGAGGGACTCCAGGAGAGGTGTTGGAGATTAGTAGAGGGAATTTTCAAGGAGAAATTGAGAAATCTACCTTATGATACAAATTAGGGGTTAGATCATAGTAGTGCAGATCATGGGGTGATCTAAGACGAAATTACTTTTTGATAGATTGGGCTACATATACTATTCTAATATGTGACGGAGGATCACTATGATTCTTATTGAGTCCTCATCCGCCCAAGCCCTTTATCACTTGTGATATAAACCTGGCGATACTTTCACAGTGTACACAATATTTACCCAACCAAAGTTGGAAGTCGTAGGCTCATTAACCAATACAAGTCCATCCACCATCTTCAATACACTTAGGCATATGGTCGCCGGACATATGTTCGGACTCTAGACACGACTACCATGGTGAGACGCAAATCATGATACGCATAATAGGGCTAACCGACTTAGACTTTGGCTCGGTATCTGGAATATAGTGGAAATGATGACAACTTGCAAGAGTTAACTTCTGAGATTCCAGTTCTACATACTATCCCAATATCTCCCAACAGGGTCATACCATCATAATGTTGAGTTTATCTAAGGTCAACCCCAGATGTAATGTTTTTATGTCACTACAACTCACTAAAATTATGAATCTTGCTACATTGGAGTAAATACACCGTGAGCACGACACATATCCCCTCGAATAAAAGAATATACGCTAAATCATATACCTGGGTATGTTAGAATAGTAGTGTGCGATAACTAACCAACGGTTAATGCAGGTTTGAATCGTATTTACGATTCCTTAAGATGTATTATCAAAATCGATAAACTTCAGTATTATTGATCTCTTAAAATCTTCATTTCTCCAATCGCACCATGCTTACAGAAGAAGGTACGATTGGTACACAATGAAAAGAACAAGGTATTAATAAAGAGATAAATAAAAATATAGGTCATGCATTCAAAGTCTTGTCGGGTAAGTGTTATTTGTTCGAACATAAGCTCATAATAATAGCATATAACTACCACCTCCTAATGTATCGGCTGGTTATCTCATAAAGAGGTATATCGTAGTAAGGCCAAAATTGAAGATTCCGAGCACATTATAACATTAGGTATTAGTGCATCTACTAATAAGGGCTACTCGTAGGTAAGTACTATCTACGAGCTACAACTGAATGATCCTATAGCTACAACACAGATAGAATTAGTTATAAGAAGACCCATTGCTTAGAGTCTTACGTAGCAACATGCTACTCTCATAAGGCTAATACAACCAAAATATGTTTAACATATGAAAACGGCAAAAACAAGGCTAGGCATCAACAGAAAAACAAGGCACGAGTTACCAAAATAAGTTCTTATGTAATTTTGTATACGAATGTTACGACAAATGAATGTTGAAATTAAATAAATAGCTATATAAAATGGTGGCTAACCGCCTTTTCTAGACCATTCTAACATACTCCTAATCGTGTATCCTCATCCAAACCTGCTTAAAACAAAGCAATCTCACCAAACCTTAAAACACCCTTTTGTATGCAAGCCTTTATATGCACCTAAGCCGCTTATAGAAGAGCAGCAGCGACGGCGGCGGCGACCACGAATCCGAATCCGCGCTCCACGTGAGCAGCAGCGGCAGTCGGGATGGTAGGGTAGCCGGTGGTGGGAGTCGCGGCCGGGGGAGGGACGGTGCTAGCAGTGCCGGCAGGGGGTACCTCAGTGCTGACGCTGGGCACAATGGTAGGGTATGGCGGCGGGGTCTTGATGGAAGTCGTCAAGCTGCTGGGGCCGGTCGGGTATCCGGGAACAAAAGGCGTGGTGGTGAAAGTCGGGAAGGGCGAGAAAGACTTGGTCGGGTAGGGGGTGAGAGGCTTAGACGGGTAAGGAGTGAAAGTCTCAACTGGTCCAGTGGGGTAGCCGGGGGTTTCGACGGGACCGGTAGGGTAAGAAGGAGTCTCAACTGGTCCAGTGGGGGTCTTGATAGTGGGGGTCTCGACGGGGCCGGTAGGAGAAGGAGGAGTCTCGACTGGTACAGAGGGAGTCTCAACTGGGCCGGTTGGGTAAGAGGGGGTATCAACCGGTACGGAGGGGGTCTTGCCAGGGGTCTCAACAGGAACACTGGGGTAAGGCGTGAGAGTCTTGGTGATGGTAGGAGTCTTGACCGAGGTCACGGGGCAGAGAGTAGTACCAATAGAGATGGTCTCAGTGGTAGTGTGCGGCTTGCCGGGGCAGTCAGGAACCTCAGGTCCGCAAGAAGTGATAGTGCGGATGGTGGTCGAGTACAGGGTCGAAGTGGAGTACTCCGTAGTGGGGGCAGTCGTCGTAGGGTAGCTAGGGGCAGTGGGGCTGGTAGTCGGGTGTCCCTTAGTCGGGCTGGTGGTTGGGTGCTCCTCGGAAGTGTTGGAGGTGGGATATCCGGGAACAGTGGCAGTCTCCGAAGTAGACGTTACAGGGCATACTGTAGTAGTGAGAGGGACGGTCTCAGTAGTGACATACGGAGTACCCGGGCAGTTGGGAACAGTAGATGCGCAAGAAGTAACGGTGTACTTGGTCGTCGTGTAGATAGTGGAAGTAGTGAACTTGGTCTTGGTCTTGGTGGAGCTCAGCGTCGTTGTGCTACCGGGACCGGTGGTGGGGTACTCTACTCCAGTGGTAGGAACCGAAGAGCTGGGTACAACAGTCGAGACAGAGGAGGAACCAATAGGGACAGAGGTGGAGCCGATTGGTAGAGAGGTAGAACCGGTAGGAACTGATGCACTGTAGGAAGAGCCGCCAGTCGGAACAGTGGTGGAACAGCTGGAGGAAGACGAACCAGTGGGTTGAGTTGTAGGGGCAGTTCCCGAAGTGGTGGAAACACCAGTAGATAGCGTTGTAGGAATGGTGGGGTAAGAGGTCACAATGGTGCTGGTGCTGGGAACAAAGGTGGAAGAACTGGTGCTAGCCTCAAAGCTTGAGGTAGAGCTGATCTTAGACTTAGACGTAGACGAGCTGGCACCGCCAGTGGGGTAAGTTGGGACCGACGGAACAGATGTAGTCGCTAGAGTGGTAGCACTGGAGGAAGGAGTGCTGCTCACAGAGCTCGAGATGGAGACTGAGCTACCCGGGAAGGTAGGGTACGAGGGGACGGTCGTGGAAAATGTCGCCTCGCTGGAGCTAGAGCTAGAGACTTTGAACGAAGAGGTAGAGCTAGAGACTGCGAACGACGAAGTAGAGCTGGAGACCTCGAACGAAGAGGTAGAGACGGAGGCGGAGCTGACCGGGTAAGACGACGTAGCTGAGCTTGTCACGAAGCTTGAGGTGGAGCTCGATCCAGGGAGCGTTGGATATCCTGGAACAGTCGTAGAAGAGCTGACGGGGGTTGAGGACGAAGCTGAAGCCGAGCTTGTCACTTCGAAGGTTGTAGTAGAACTAGACTCGGGGAACGTCGGATATCCTGGAGTAGTAGAAGAGCTGACAGGAGATGAGGATGAAGCCGAAGCTGAGCTTGTCACCTCGAAAGTCGTAGTGGAGCTCGACTCAGGGAAAGTTGGATATCCCGGAATAGTCGACGAGGACGAAGCCGAAGCGGAGCTCGTCACCTCGAAAGTTGACGTAGAGCTCGACTCGGGGGATGTCGGGTATCCTGGAACTGGAACGGAGGTAGAGGAGCTCACGGGGTAAGTTGACGAAGACGGAGTGGCGACCTTAGTTGAGGTCGAGCTCTCGGGAAACGTCGGGTAACCCGGGTATGTTGGGTATGGCTCAGGCGCAACGGGGTAGTGACGCTTGGAGTCAGCGCTGGCAGAGCCGGCGAGGGCGAGAGCCCCCAGGCTCAGCAATAGACCTTGCATGTCGGTGGCTTTACGTACTCGGGCGAGTATTATATTAGGTATTAAAAATATATTCCTAGCGAGAGACAAGAAACGACCGTGATCTGAAGCGACTGTGGTGCACAAGTCAAAGCGAGTGAACTTGGCTGTTTATACAGTTGAGCGAGCAGAAGCCGATGAGGAGGAGACAAATATCTGGGCGGCGAGAGACTCTTTAATATCCATACGATTGAGTGACATCGCTCTGCTGTAGGCTTTAAGGAGAGTGAAAGACCGGGGCGTCGATACCAGTCAATCTTAGGGTTCCACAGAGAACCAAATCCCCGTAAATTCCATGAAGCCATGATCCATCACCTATCGTCTCCGCAGAGACGGCGGGTGGGCTGACGTTGAGGCTGGCGCAGGTTGTACCTCTCGTAAACCCCAATACGACACAGACACGAGCAAAGCAAGTGGAGCTGCATTAAAGCTCGACTGGCATTGGTGTAGATCCTGCGAAGGGTGCCATGCCAAGTTGCTGTCTTTACTGTCCACCAATGAGTCCAGCCGCTGGCGCTTTGGCCGCGACACCGTACATACTGTCACCTAAATACCCTTATTGGAATGGTATGGGGAATGATTGGCTATTATCTTCAGATACCCCTTGAATACGTTAGCGCACGCTCCAAGTATTCCCAAATTTAGCATCTTTAATCTCCAGTCAAATACGATAGATAATATCTAATTCACATGCGTATAATATAATATATCGCTCTAAATGGCGGTCATATCTTCTTTCGTAGAAAAGAGCGGAGACCATCTAGAACCCAACCATGTATACCTATGCATACATAGCCTTTGTCGTGCATGGGCCAATATCCTATATCGTGATACTAGTCCCAAGATCTCATTCAGTGTTCCTTTGTTATTGTGTCAGGTACCTAATGCATCTACATAATATTCACAAAATGCTACGTTGTAGCTGAGTAGAGATCTCGCTGGACCGGTAGATCCGGGTGGTGCCGTGGCGTTTTCCCAATCTGGAATAGGAATAGGGGACGTTAGAAATATCAACTAATTTGCAGCTTTCGGCTCGTGTTTTGTAGCGTATAAGGCTTCCTTTCTATCATAGCATCCTGTTTCTCTATACTTCACGATGCTCAGTAGAATATTCTTCAGAAGTTTTCGGGACTGTAGTTTAAACGTACATCCGTTAGCGGGCCACTATCACGGTGATAGACCACGCCATGATGCTGACTTGCATTGGCCTGACCTGCATATCACCCGGGCCGAGGGGTTTGTTGTTCGTGATGGAATTTCTTAGTATTGTGTATTTCAAATCGTGCTCAACTATGTACTTCTTGGCCCAGTGAAAATTTTCATATGTATGCAGCCATACCTTTGGTTCCACTGTTGTTGAGTCTTGTCTCTCGATCTGGATGCATTTCAGGGGCACGGAGACTGAGGTGATCATAATAGGGGTATATGGGTATCTCACTAATCCTACATAGAAATACATGTCAACAACCTGCGGCTTTGCTCTTGTTCTGTTTTAATTCTAGTTCACTTCTACGTAATTAATAGGCGATTACACGCAATCCCCTTTTACCGACGCTAGGGAAGTATGTGAGAGAATGGCTCAGTATGAATAACAATATTGGCCCGATTTGCGATGACCGGCTTTGTCAGACAAGGGGGCTTATGATTAAAAAGGTACGCAATTTCAATGCCGATGGGGTTAGTCGACAAGGTTACCTGGGAAGCCGTGGGGAAACTATTTAGGTGAAATAAATTGTTACGAGATGTTGATATTCAAACTAGTTAGTGAAAAAAGAAAAAAGAACAAAGAAAAAAACCGAATCGCGATGACAAGAACGAAAGAATTGTATTGCCGTAACAATTCTCTTAGCTCAACCTTTTACATCCGTCTTGAGTCCTATTTCGTACTCGTTTTAGTGACGTCACCTTTACACCACCGGGAGCTCCATATTATGTAACTTGTATGCTGCCGAGAATTAGTCCAACAAGACAGCAGGATTTGGCAGACTTCTTAGTTCCATTGAATGAATGAAAAGATTCTAGCCTAATCCACTTCCAAAAAAACTTGCCAGCACGAATGATATATACATAGACATCGCCTTCATTCTCTTTGACGATCATATAGCTAGTTGCTGTTACCTAAAGTAGCGCAACAAATACGAGCCGCAAGTCCCACTTGGTTGCTGAAGGAGCCCGAGAAGCCATGGCATCAAGTCCGCTTAACGGTATGGAGTGAACACCTGCATGCTTTAACAACTCACCTACCTAAGCCTCTCCGCAATTACGAGCTTTCGTGCTGTAGTGCTTACTTACTCACATGTTTGGGGATCGTCCGATCACAGTATTCAAACAGCCACTCAAGCTGTTCTCCCAGCAGCCTATGACTGGGTTCTTCCGTGACGGCTACTGTCGCACCGGCGGAGGCATCGATCCGGGCAACCATGCCGTGGCCGGTATCGTTACTGACGAGTTCCTTGATTTCTCCGCCTCACACGGGAACGACCTACGCCAGGTCGGCTTGAAAGGCGGTTGCAGATGGTGTCTGTGCACTGCCCGCTGACTTGAGGCCTATCAGGCATATCGTGGCGGTAGGATTACGAATCTGGGCGTTCCCCGCGTCGACTTGGACGCCACGGAAGACAGTGCGCTAGTGATGGTCGACATGGATGCTTTCAGGCAGTTTGCCGTCCGGCATAATCAGTCGAATGTGAATGGGAGCGGAAGTGGTGCTACGTGAGTTCACTCCCCGACGCTGTCGGTCCTGTATCGATTTGCGTTAGCAGGGATGAGCACTTGTATGTAGCTACTTGTTGCACACAACCTGTATGGTAGATAACCTGTCAGGAGCACAATTATATATAACCTTGACTCGAACTCTTAGGTAACCAGAGGCCGCATATAGGCCTGAAGTTTAGCTTGGTAATATATAAATAAAAGCACCCGACCCCGAAGATGTTCCCAGAGAGAAGGAGGTAAATATACGAAGTGTGATTGATGAATAAGTAAGTAAAAAAAAAAAAGAAAATGAAAAAGAAATGAAAAAAAGCCTATAGAATACTGAAGTAGAGGGCAAATAAGTCTCCTTAGGCAACGAGTGTTGAGGAGGACAGACAAGAAAGATTCATGACTATCCTCTATTTCATCTCAGCTTATGATACTATCAATATGGGGAAATGCAGAAAAATGCCTCCACATTCCAGTTCGCTTCGCCAACCTTTGCTCCACGACAGACAAAATGTCACCGGAACTATTGCCGAGACGCCGTCACACTACGAATCGCAGGTAACCGCTCTCTAGACTAATTCGGCTGTCCCCTCGGGTTCGTCTAGTTTCATTGAAACTGGAGGATGCTGGTGACGGCTTTCTAGCTAACGGTGATTGAAGAATCAATTGTAAGCCTGCATGTTCGATGTGGTTGAGTTTAGACGCGAAATATCTGAAAGGGGAAGTTCGGTTAGATCTGCGCGATACGCTCGAATCTTAGCAAACGGCGTTTAACACTCCTAAATCGGGAATATGAGGAAAAGATCTACCTACATAATCCTCGGCGGCAAGAATAGGAAGAGCGCTAGAAAATTCCAACGCCGCGGAAGAGTTGCTAGAAATAGATCTGGTGGCGAAAATAAAATGCGGCATTTAGGTAGATCTTATTTACCCACCAAGATCGAATACATACATACATACCTACCTACATACTACGCAGCAGAATCCGGTAAAAAATAAATAGGGGCTATAATTCCCATAGTACCGTAGATCGCTTGAATAGGGTTCCTCTATTGCATTTTACCGGATGATCAGGCCCAGCCGCATTCTACAGTTAATATGTATGTAACTATTGATAAGAGTCATCAACCTGAATTGGCATTAAATCCACTGCATCTGCGGTATAACGACTTGCGTTGGCTGCATAAGGTAGTGCAACATTCGTCAGTCATTACATAGGATCATCTGCCAACTCTTAGGAAACGATCTCGGATGCTCTTCACGGTAAGAAGCCACTATCAACTTGGCTTCGCCCAGTCATTGGTTTGTGGGTAATCAGGAAAAAGCGCCGCGACAAGTGCCGATGATACCATGATCGTGCTCTTGTCACCTTGTCGCCCATGGCTTCTTTTAGAGAGATCTGATTCGGATTCTGTTTTAGGCCTTTCTGGGCGCATTATGCAAAGTGAAAGCGCCTGGCAGGTGAAGCGTTTCTATTGTCTATGATTGGCTGTTGAAATTCTACTTTGACGAATGCTTGTCAGCAAGTATTAGCTTATGTAGTATTTCAGTTTAGGACAACTATGATACAACTTCTGGCAAGGGATCTAGGTTTATAAGTGGTGTGCTTGCTATGTAGATAAGGCAAGTTTCACCACGAAAGAAGCAAAAGTTGGGCCTGGGTGACAGGTCGGTAGAATGCAGGCCAAGTCCACGCGGCCGCAAGGATTCGAGGGTAAATCCCGATAGTCAGCGCCTAGTCTTAACGGTAGGCATGTGGTGTTTGCCCGAGTTGAATGTTAATATATGGTAATTAATATATATCGATGGCTATGAAGTGTTATCTTATTCATTATCCCTAAGACCACTAAACTAGTTAAACATTCACAGTTCACTCCACATCCTACCGATCGATATCCCTTTATATGCGTATTTGTGTATGATGAGGGGTATCTAGGAGTCAACATGCAAGTCAGCCAACCTTGAGTAAGTGAGGATCACAAGTTGAACTAGCCAGTCAGGCTGTGAATTTGGCACTATGGTGTTGCTTATAGACTATAAACTACCTACCTACCTCTTAAACATATAGATCATTTATAATAGTTATAAGCTCTTTTTTCATTTTAGTTATAAATGTTTCTTAGATGAAATATAAACATAACATTAAAACGTCTTTGCTTTTTACTTGAAATAATTTAAACATTAAAAACTACCTAATCATAAAAATACAATATGTCTAAACGTTAGGTATTTTCGTTAAAGACATTCCATTGATTGTTCGTGTATTAGATTTTATCTAGGAGAAAAAGTAGCAATGTCAAGCTTTACATACCTTAGGTACCTACCTAGGTTAGGTAGGTAGCATTGAATTAGTAGCTTCATTGGTAGGTTAAGGTAGGTACTTGATATACATAATCGTACAGTAATGTTATGCGGGGGAAGGTGTTCCTACAACGTACTACAACGTACCCCAAACTATCTAGTGGAATCAGATTCGACCACTTAGGTGTCGCAGGTACCTGAAAACCCCACCACTAACCATTAGCTCGTCTTTAGTTGACAGTTGACCCAATAATCTCTGAAACTTAACGCGAACTCCCCAAAACATCACTTTGGCTTCCAACTCCCGCAGGATTGACCAAATCTTGGGTCCCTGTCGTCTCTCTTTCCCCCCCCTTTGACCTTTGACTTTAATCCCGATACCTAAACTTACCAACTTCAACTAGTTATCGAATCATTGGAGGCTTTGGAAGTCTTGATCGGGTCAAGATCCCTCTTTTTTAATATCATTTCTCCTTCAATCCTTCAATCTTCGTTATCGCTCGTTTCCTACCACCTAATCTATCCGCGAGCGGTGCTCCTCATACGTTTTTTGGCCCCTTTAATACTTTAATACTTACTGTTTCTAATTACGGATGCACATCTCCCCGATTCGTCGTACCTTACATGCTGTGAACCTCAGCCCACTTTGATAATTACCTGCTTTGTCTTTCTCTAACTACCCGTCCAAGTACGATTTCGGCCAAAGAGTGACGAGTGCGGACGAATCAAACCTCGGTCGCGATATTTCAGGTGTGTCGACGGTCCGCAGAGGTCGGTAGCAGCCAGCTTGACCTGAATATCGAGAGGATCGATTCAGAAGCGAATCTTCTATATTCTTGTCTCCGTGTTACGTATGGCAGCCCCCATCTCGGCTGTCGTCCAACCTGCTCTGTTTAATTTAAACCGACCAATCGACCAATCAACGTCCTGCGATGTATTCCTCCGACAACAATCGACAGAGCCAGCGCCATCGGCCGGATTTGAATATTAATATCTCGAGCCCTGTTAGAGATCGCGATTCTATGCCTTCTACGCCGCTGACAAGGTCGAAAACGAAACCACCCGTGTCCAGTCGAGCATATCGAGTACCTTCGAACTTGCCACCTTCACGCGACTCGGACGATTCTTTTCTAGATAATGGTTCTGACGAAATTAGAGGGAACGAACATGATCTGCCTGACCTGCCTAGAGGTAGGAATGTGAGAGATTCGCACGACTTGTCCTTACCGTCCCGCCAGTTCACGCGCGACTCGCTCGTGACTAATATGTTAACATCTCTTGATCAATTCTCCCTGGGACAAATCAACACGCCTGTGAATAATTTGTTTGATGACGATGATCCTCATAGTCCGCCGAGGGCAGACGAGTACTCAAGGTCTATGACGGCTAGTTCCCGGCCGGGACGCGTGTGGAACTCTGGTGCTGGACCCGGCCACGGATACTCGTACAGCTCTGACTTTGAGGGTACTGATGACGGATCTAGCAGGATGTCGGGTCAATTTTCGAGAGGGCGACGTAGCAACAGCAGTTCAGGCTTTCAGTCTGGCTTGGGTCGGATCAATAGTTTGCGAGAACGTAGCCACCCCAACGCAGTTGGCGGGCGGGGGTTGCATTCGAGAGGAGGTAAGACTAGCAAGAGCAGTAGCACCAACAGCATCGATGTCGGTGGTTATGCCCAAGTCCTAACCACTCAGCGGTGGGCCCACGGTATCAGTGGGAGGTCATCAAGTTTTGACTACGGACAAAGGCCATCTATAAATTCTCTTAGTGCTTGGAAGACAGATTTTTCTAACACGTTCCTTGTTGATGATTACGAAGCAGCGCCGACGCCAACGATACCTATTGGGCCCCGTCGCCTGAATATGCCGTCCAGTCCCGTCGGCCCTCTGCCTATGCCTCCGCCGGAGCCCGAGTCGAAGACTCCCGATCGCAAGAAATCTGCTGCAAGATCGAGAAGTAGCACTATGAGAACGACGCAATCTAAGCACGGTGGTCCGCGTGAGGTGCCGCCCCCGTTACCCTCGGCCGATCTAGATGCTGCACCTGCACCACATATCGGGTATGAGAAGTCCAAGGAAGCCCTGCATGGCGCTCCCAACCCAGCACCGCAAGTGAAGCAGGGTTTTTTCAGTAGGATATTTGGCTATCGGAATAGCACAAATGTCCCGGAGGCTAGACCGGCCCAACCTACATTGACGCCAGCAGAAAGCGCTGAGCAATCTAACAAGTTACAGCATATAGCATCGCAGACGAACGCCCAACCGACCCCTCCGTCAAGGGATTCGCAACGACCGTCTAACCCGCCTCAGGTTCTCCATAAGAAGTCGTCGTTCTTTAGAAGGCGGAAGAAGTCTATAGCCGAACCTCCAGTACCGCCGCCCCCGGTACCTATGGAAATCAGTCGAATTAAAGAACAAAGCATTCAACGTGAAGCCAGTCCTGTTAGCAGCTTACGCGAGATCATGAGTCCATTTCTACAAGAGAACATGTCGTCTGTGCCTAGCGCCCTTTTATCTCCAGGACCTGAGGTTTCGCCGCGGTTACGAGGTTACGAGTCGCAGGATGATGATGAACACGCTCGTAAGTCTCGAGGCTTTTCTCCTGACTACGAGCCCAGTCCAAATGCTACTATCCGGACTGTAAAATCTACCTCGGCCTTAAGAGGTCAGGACGCTGCTCGTAGACGGTCTCAAATGGAAATGGAAATGTCAATGCGAGACCTCCCTGAATTACCTCCTATGAAATCAACTGAGGCTCGTGACGCGACATTCTTCCACGATAGTAGTGATGAAGGTGAAAAGCCGCCGCCTAGTGGAACGCGCAAGCAACAACAGCGGCAAAGCAGCAAATCTTCTCCAAAAATGGACGATCCAAAAGGTGGATTCGAGGAAACCAGAAGCCACGAACAGCATGACAGCAGAGATGAAGATTCTAGACCCACTCCATCACCCAACTTGCCGCTTCAACAGAACATCACACCTGAAGAGGATTGCCAACAAGTTGCTAGCAGCCGCCAGGTTCCTAAGAGGATGTCTACTTTCCCCGGTTCACTTCACAAGTCCGCCAATGGCTTACCTAGTGTCAGGGTGGACAGTGTTGAAAGCAGCCCAAAGGTCGTGGGTTCGCCTTTAGATGAGCCCGAAGTGTCGGTAGGGGAGCCGACAGAGGATGACCGGCAGAAGGCCCAAAAGATCTTTGATGGAAACGAAGATTTCATCCAAAAGGAGAAAGCAGCGGCTTGGATGGGAGAGGAAGGTCTCGTGAGACAAAGAACCCTGAAGGCATACATGGATATCTATGACTTCACGAACGAAAGTGTGCTTGCCAGTTTGCGGCAAATATGTAGTCGTCTCGTCTTCAGGGCCGAGACACAGCAGGTCGATCGGATATTGGTCGCATTTTCAAATCGGTGGTGTGACTGTAACCCCAATCACGGTTTCAAGACTACTGGTAAGCAAGCTAGACTACATCGTTGTTTATGACTAACGCATCGCAGATGTAATACATACTTTGTGTTATTCAATCATGCTCTTGAACACCGATCTCCACTTGGCAGACATCGACCAGAAGATGACCAAGAGCCAATTTGTCAAGAACACCATGACTACTGTTAAGCATGCGATAGCTGACTCTATTCCTGAAGCGTTTGACCGGGCTAGCATCTTGCCCGGCAAGAATAGTTCACTGAATCCCTTCGATCCAGACATTGGGACTGCTTTTGAACCGGAACCAGAGCGACCCAGCTGGAGATCATCATTCATGCCGCTACCACGATCAGAGTCGTCGATGGGTAACTACTCAGACGGTCCGGTTGACACGTGCGGACCGCTCGTAAAGACTCCATTTGAAGGTTCTATGAAGGCATGGGTCCAGCAGATGGAGCTTGTATTAAAAGATATATATATTTCAATTCGGGATGAAAGACTCCCTCTCTTTGGAGCTGAGCCGGGTCAATCACAGAGCCAAGCGCAAGGTAGCCTCTCGGTCATGGGTATGCTCAAGCGCAGCCCAAGCGTCCTGTCGAAGACACCGTCCGAGGGTCACATCTCTGTGCGCGGTAGGATCGTTGACCCGACCCGCAATCCTGGAAGTAGATGGAATTCAAAGAGTCGGTCTAGGCCGAGGTTCCCTGGCAATGGACTCTCCTCGAGCCGTACGAGTTTCGAAGATGGAAATTCAATCTGGACTCCCACTACCTCATCTGCTACATGGAGCCGTTACTCGTTGGGTAGGACCCAAACTTCGATGTCTATGGACTCGTTCAGTTCATACCCGCACGGTGACTACCATCAATCAATTGGATTTGCTAATGCTCTGAGTCAAGCTATAATACGTGAAGATGCCCCCCCGGGCACTAGTGGACAATCCATCATGAGCGAGGAGATGCAGAATAATCAACTCCTCGATGATGAATCGCTCGAGCTTGCTGGTTCGCCCTGGGTGAAAGAAGGCCTTCTCGTTCACAAGCACCATCTAGATGGCGTAGATAAGAAATCTAAAGAGAGGAATTGGGTCGAGGTTTTTGCTGTCGTCCAAAAGGGAACAATGAGCCTCTTTTCCTTCTCGACCAAGTCAATGCGTCAAAAGGCCCGCATTGGTCGCAAGCCCGCTCCTGGTGCCGTTGTTGGCGGTGGAAACTGGCAGGAGAATGCTACCAGTGTCGGGTCTTTCTCGCTCCGCCAGACACTCGCATCCGCCCTCCCCCCGCCCGGTTATTCTCGCAGCCGGCCAAATGTTTGGGCCCTCAGCTTGCCCAGCGGCGCTGTCCACCTCTTCCAGGTTGGTACTCCCGAGATTGGCAAGGAGTTTGTTCTCGCGGTCAACTACTGGAGTGCCCGATTAAGCACGCACCCGCTAGTTGGCGGTGTTAGCAATATGGAATACGGCTGGAGTGATGCAATTATCAACAACGCCCTTATAATAGCCACCAACGAGCCGCCCCCACCTGTGCGCCCAGGTAGCGCAGCAGCAGGTCGTACCAGCATGCATAGTCGCCAAGGTAGCCTCCAAAGCAGCATTCGTTCGTCGTTTGACGTTAGTGGTAGCTCGCGCGCTAAACTACCAGGCGACCGAATCCATATTGCTGAATGGACCGCCCCGGCACAATCTCTGCGTCCCAGCAACGCCTCCGAAGATGAGCAGTTAGAAATCCTAGAGACTTACGTCAAATCTATTGAAGAAGACCTCCAGAGGCACAATCAACTCAGATCACCGATGCTTTTAGCCTTTACACCGCGTGGCCATAACGCTGGCAAGGCGATGGCAAACTGGGAGCGGAAGAGCAGTTATTTGCTGCGTGAGATCGTTAAGTTTAGGACGTATGTCGATTGCTTACAGCATGCCAAGACGAAGCGTAGGGAAATCTACGCCGAACGCGACAACGCAAACCGCGCTCTACATGGCGAGGACCTCAGCGACGATGACGATGACGTCCACGATCCGGAGGGTGCCTTGGCCATCCAGGTCGAATAGAATCCGAAAATCCTTGGCCCGGAAGATACAAGAAGGTTATATTATGCATAGTTTCAATTTTCCAGTTCGAGTTCAGCACTAGCGAATCAATCAATGTAACAAAAGTGAAGGGGTGGGTGAGAGGGGCGGGCGAGAGGGGGGTTACTTTGTATTAGATTAGAAGAAGATCACGGGAATAACTCGATACCCGTAGACCGGCGCACGCTTGGCTCCTTGTTTTTGCTATGCTGTAAATATCACATCTGTTCTATAATTTGGGGGAGAGCTTTCTCCTTGTTGTGAATATCCACATTGAACGAGTAGACGATTGTACATTGCAAGTTTTTGATGCTCGAGATGGTTGCTGGACCAAGTAATATTCGGTTGATGCTTGTGCGGCGAAATGTCATACTAATGGCTTCTGATTCTGTACACCTGGTATACCTTGTACTCTATTAATTCTATTAACTACGCGACGGTACAATACCTATTCATGAGTATAGTTGAGTCAAGAACATGTTTAAGTTTAATAAACTAAGCCCAAGATTACAACAAATTTGTGATGTTTTACCCCTTATCCGACCTTCTCATTTACCTCATTACCTAGCCTCCTTTCATGCCGTTTCTATATATCCTCATTCGGTCCCTATCTCTACGAAGATCACTCTTTTACCTGTCTCGCTATAATTCCGTGCACAGCACAAGATCTCCCGCGTCCGGTATCAAGTCTTGGAGACCCCAACCTATGATGATGAGGATAGCGCGAATGGGCCAACGCCAGAATAGTTCCCAGTGCGACACCAGCAACTCGGTAGGGTCCATGCTGAAGAGCTTGAGGAACCGGTCCCGGGGATATAAGTAAGATTTCGAGGTAGAGTCATAACTCTTACCTATCTTGGTGGAGGGGAAATGAGAGTATAATAATAGATAGGTGGCGGCAAAATATGAGAGGAGCAACGTAGTCGACATGAGTAGAACTTCTAAAAGGGGTTTTCTTAAGCTATTTTGGTGAGGAATGGTTTGCTAAAAACCTATAGGTCGATATATGTGCTCAATTGAATACGATTGTTGGAGTTAAAGAGAGCATATTGTGGACGATACCTTTTATATATTGACAAACATGTCCCGATTTCGAACAAAGAGGCTTCGCAAGAATAATTGAATTGTGATATAACAATGCGTCTTTGTTAGGACATCTTGCTTCTTTTCATGATTAAATCTAAATCGAGGAGGTACTCTCATGCTTCATTTCCCGTCGTCTCTTATACGGAACAAAAGGACATTTATGCAAGCATCAAAGAAGGGTATGATGAGAAATTTCGGACGATGAGGGCCTTATTTTATTACTAATGACCATAGCAATAGATAAACAATGGAGATATATAGGGGTATATGTTATTGCCCGCCCAGCTCCAAGGAAAGAGAATCCAATAACCAAGTTCCTCTCTGTATATAACGCCACCGTATGTAGTAAACCAACTCCAGAAAATTCCTGCTTGAACATTATCCTTGTACTTCTACGAGCCCCTTACACATATCTAAGAACCTGTTTCGGTACTCCTCGCTGTCCGTGGTGATGCTCATCGGTCCTTGGTCGTCAATGAGGTTATACCCTCGGATCAACGTAGTCATTGCCTTTGCGTGAATTGTGTGCTTAGCCCAGAAGAAATCCAAGATGGAAGCTCTGTAAATCTCTCTACCGTCGCTCGATACGACTCCCGTCCTCCAGCTCGGGGGATTAGGCGGTGTGAAAGGCAGTTGGACAGACGGGATGGGTTCGTCGCCGGCCTCTTCCAACTCGATTAGGGGTTCCGATTCGACGGTCGGGGCGTCTAACGCAGATATCCGAACGAGAAAGAGCGAATAGTCGACGGCATTGCAGTTCGCAAGAAGTAGAGTGTCGTTTTCTATCTGACGTTGAAATTCGGTAGCCTGTGCTTCGGAGAGTCGAATCTTATCGTTGAATTCGTCTGCGAGCTTTGACTTGGTGGCCTGGGAAGCTAACGCTCCTCCGGCGATGTCTCTCTCGGGGAAGAAATAGGAGGTAGGTTTTAGGTCCGACGACTCCCATTTCGATTTTGGGCCTTGGTCCTGTCCGTACAAGATATTTTCCATGACGATGTGATGGCTTGGCGCGAGGCCTAACAGCGTACCTATAGTCTTGTGGGTGCTCTCGAGGAAGTTGGTGATGCGCACTAGTAGACTAGAACGGTTGACGCGCATATGATCGGCGTAAGGTATGAGCATCTCATTCTTGAAGAAGTAATGCTCAAAGTGTCGAGGAACCGACTTCACCAGATAGGCGCCGTCATTAGTGCAGAAGAATGTCGAGCCACTGTAACCCATATCACCCATTGGTATTAGAACAGCTTTATTCTTCTTGTCGATCTGTTTCTTGGCACTAAAGCTGGCTTTATAGCTGTCCTCGTTGATTATCCATACGCTACGCAGAGGCTTAAACAGATCTTCCCGTACCAGTCGGAAGGATAGCCAATACATATAGAAGAGGCGAAGAACTCTCCTCAAGAGAGAAGGTTTCCGAGCAGGTCTGCCATCCTCTTTGGCCGTTAGAATGGCATACACTATGGAGAGGGCGATTAGAGTCTCACGTCGAGTCATGTTGAGAACAGACTCGTTTTGTTGCCTGAGGGACAAGACGACGAGAAGGTGAGCGGTGTTGATGTTAAGCCAAAGTTTACGAACAGTCTAGATTCAAATAGATTAACCTAACCTGGGTATGTACCACTCATGATACGGGTGTCAACATTGGAATAGAAGAAAAAGAAATGCTCCGGTAGAACAGAAGTAAGTGACGTCATGAAAGGACAAGACTCGTATTACTGGCCTTACGAAATAGTCACATTACAGCCCTAATTAATACCTTTCTCTCATGTCCGTTTCACCATAAGGTTCATTCATTCATTCAATCATCATTTTACCCCTTTCTTTATATTCCTCGTTTATTTTTCATTCAAAAAGCCGAGTTGAGAATTTCGTTATTCAGTGGAATATGTACGCGAGTTGTCCATTCAGAACTTGTAAAATTTCAGGGATGTCACGGACTTGATCGCGTCAGCCTTCGTGCTCTGCTATCCACCAGCGCCCGGGTATACATAGTAGTTCCTGAGTCTATTCCCAATTTGACATATGTATTAACTAGGTATCCTATATAGATACTACTATGTATAGTATGTGTTTTCCGGTTCATAAAGGTCCCTCCATATAAACGGTGTAAAAATTAACATCTTCACCTCTTCCGATTCCATTCCAAACCCTTATATATAAATGTGTAACCAACTCGACTACAACTAAAAGCGCTTCGAATACAAAACGTCCACCCCCATTACGACTGTCTAATTACCTCCAATCGGAAGGAAGCCCGTTATCACTAGCATTAAACACCCGTTAGTCATATTCAGTAGTTAGTAACGGCGTAAAACACTTACCCCTAACCTCAGATGGCGGGTCTTGAAAGCTATCGCGAGACAAGAGTTCTAACCAGATTATGGCTTCCAATAAATGCCGTTCAATTCTGTCGCGTCGACGGCGGCTCTGACGGTAGAGCCGCCCCCCGTCGCGTGTACATTCCCGCGTTGACATTAGTTAAGATACGAGGCCCGTGGCTGTCAAGACTGGGATTTAGCCAGTTGGTTATGCTAGGATCTCGCTCATGACCGAAGTGATCTCGTACACTGTGAGTTTAATATTCGATTTCATAGTTAATAAGAAATATTCTTATGTATATTGATATATGGAGGCAAATGGCCGAAGAGTAGGGATGTTGGGGGTTTTAAGAGATACTCTAGTTATATCTTCCTTTAACACTCTTTGTCGCTCTGCCTCTAAGCGCAAGTGCGATGTGACCCCTATAGAAATGATTCGTCATTCAAATAATATAAATTGGCTTGAGTATCGTGTTTCCTTGGATCATCATGCCATCTCTCTTTGTTACTTTTCATTTGTTTATCTAGTATACCTTGCTCCCGTTCATTGTCGGCCGTAGTCATCTCTTCTATATCCGAGGGGCTCTTTGTGTCGTAACACTTGTGATAGTCCCATAGCTGTATATCCTGCATGATCAGAAATTAGAACAGAAACAGAGTACGGGGTTACGTTTACCCCAGAACCCGAGTAGTTACGGATGAAATGACTAAAATGCTAGGTTCCGCATTGAAATATAAATTATTCGTTTCATAATTTGGCTCCTTATTATATCTTCCTATCTATTCCGCTGGGTATATGTAAATTCATTAAGATTCTATACCTGTAGTGACAGACACCGAGTTGGGTGTTGTCTATGTTATGCAAATCTAACGCCCCTAAATGCATTGTCCATTTTACCATTCATTATTACTGGGCTCTACTAAGGTAAAAGTCTTTCCATGAGCATAAATAGCATTGTGAAAAACCTCTTAGTAAGAAACACTCAGGCAAAATCGCTTGCCCCGCTCGTCAGTTAATCCCTTTTCGTTTCGTATTTAGATCTTGGTGATCTTGAGGCCGACTTGTAGAGTTCTGGCTGCAATAAACCATAGCATCGATATGGTCATCACAATGCCGCAGAACAACTGAAGGCCTAGGTACTTGCCGCCGTTGGCACTCACGATGGCGCCACCGATGGGCGAACCTATCAAGGCGCCGACTGCAGCCGCGAAGAATGCCATACCAGTGCGTATTCCAATCTCGCGGATGTCGCTGATTTGCGCAATAAGGGAAGGCAACAGCGAGATGAAACCACCGGATGCAAATCCAAAAATGGCTCCGTACGTGACCGTCGTGGCTGTTGATTCGCCCGGTATCCATAGAGCGAGTGTGATGATGCCTGATAGTCCCGAAATGAATATCATAATGTTGAAACGTCCGAATCGATCGCCTAGGAAACCGGGTGCGATACGGCCTGGAATACTAACGGCATTGATGATAGGTATGAGGTATGGCACGATAGCTGGGTCGATCCCTTGCTGTTTGGCTTGTAACTGGATATAGCTGTATGGTAAAAACATGCCAAAGAAGAAGAAGAAGCCGCCAAATATGATACACACAAAGGCCGGTTCGTGAAGAGGTCGTACGTATTCCACGAACTTGAATGGCTTCTTACGAGGTGGAAGACGGCACTTGATGGTGCAGCAGGCGAAGCTGCACAAGGCCAGGAGCATGAAGCCGATGACGCGTATAGTCCAGGGGAATCCGATCTGCGGGATAAGGTGTGTCATCATGATGGGTAGGATCACGCCTCCGAGCGATGAGCCTGACACCATTATCCCCAGGGCCGCAGCGCGTCGCTTGAAAAACCAGCCCATGACCGAGTTCATTGCCGAGTTAAACACCGCGCTCATGCCCACCGCGCTTACAATGCCCTGCGAGAGGAGAATCTGGTAGTACTGCGTCGAGAGGGATAGCATCATCATCCCGAAGATGAATACTAGGGTTCCGATGATGAGCAGGTACCGAGGGCCGTAGTTATCGAACAGTCGGCCCATCTACAAATATCAAGACATGTTAGCCGTCGTCTCTTCACCTACCAGTCGAGAGGAAAACGAGGAACGCGAGTTGGGATTACTTACGACTGCGTTTAAGGCGGACATTATAAATATTTGAATTGAAGTGATCCAAGTGATAGTCGACACGTTGTAGTTGGACAACGGCCCTGAGGCGTAGTAGCTGACGAACGTTCCCACGCCGTTCACAAGTCCGAAGGTACTGAACAGGGCACAGAAGCCACCAGCGACGACGAGCCAGGCCTCGAGTCCGCCATCCGGGAAGTCGGCCGGGTTAAAGCCGCCTGCCGTGACGGGAGCTTGTGGTGCCACGCCGCCTTTCTCCACTATAGCATCTCATGTTAGTACCGAGTCATCATGATTACCCGACTTGGGGGAGTCTCAAAATCTTACTATCTGCTTCGATGACATTTTCCGGGTCGGGGAATATATTGGCATTGGTAGATTTGGTCTGCGACGGGATGCGCTCGAGGGAGTGCCGCGTGGACTCGTAAGGACTCGACTCGTCCGAGGTGTTGGGTAGATCACCCTTCATGGTCGACGTCTCCGAGTCGTAGCCGGGGGTTTTGGCCTGGGAGATGTCGTGAGATGGCGAGACCGTCGGCGCTTGCATCTCGGGAGACTGAAGGGAGAGAAGATACCGGTCGCGTGGTCTGGATTCAGGGACCCAAGGACAGGGGCTGCTATTTGTAACTAAATATTAAGAGTGACTAAGTGATTCAGTACTGTAGAACATAGGTCACTCTAACGGATGTCTTTATTTGTCTAGGTTACTATAGTACGAATAATATATTGACGAGGCTTGCCCAAATTCTTATATGAACTGGCAATCGCCCAAAGTACATGGTTGAGTCCGAGAAACTCGGAGCATCTCGGTTTTAAAACACAATGACTGGGGCTCGGACGTGCGATGTCAGGGTTCCTCGCATACATAGTCCCGTCATTACTATGTATTAAGTCACGGTATGGATTTGTCTCCACCATCCCCTTGTACACATAATATACACACAATAGAATCTTAGACGGGTATGGTTAAGTAGGACTGATCCCAGCTGAAAGTAGAGAAATCGTCTCTATTGGTGACTAGATACGGTTGCTAGCTATTCACATGTGGTAACTACTGTGTAAATCTTTCGAGACGTGATACCTATTGCATGAGTTCGGCACCTAAATATGTAATAAACAAGCAGGTCCAGAGTCGAGACGCGGATTTACCAAAAGGCCACCAGCACTTCTTTTTAGTTACCCTAGTTACCTGACTACGTAACGTAGGTATCTTAAGCTGTATCCATACCTTAGGTAGGTATTAATATATCAAAACACGGCCCCTATTTAGTACTGTATGTATTGCACTATGTTACATACTACCTAGGTTAGGTAGCATAGGATCTTAGTGACCAACTGAAGAGATACTTAATACTTATCATTATTATTAGTAGCCTCTACGAAGGAAGCATTTAGCTAATACGTAATCTACTGATGTTACATGATAGGTAATAGAATAGATAGGTAACTACCTCCTAACTGGTTGACTTCGGCGTGTAATGAAGCGCGAAACCCGAATTTCTTACAAAGCATAACCCAAGTAAGTGCATGAGAAGACCCAGCGGGTTACTATGTACTATATAGGTGGAGCTAATGCAGTGCGTAGAACCAATCATACGGTCCCGTTTGAAGAATCTCGGTTCGCACTAGCGGAATAGAGTTAAGCTTAGATCTTATCTATATCATGTACCGAGATCTTGCTAGAAATACGTGTTTTCTCGGAGATGATAATTAAACCTACTCGGATTTAAATACAATATTCTGATAAGAGTTTTTGATGTTCTAGGCCGTCGACCACATACCTAGGTATTTACAGTACAGAGTACAGGTTTGGCAGTTTGTGAACTGCAATGACATTGGGGTTTGAAGCCATATTTATATTGCGTTAAATATACTATTTAATAGTCGCCGGTGGCGTATAATCAAATGTGGTACTTCCCTCGTACGGACGTAAAATCGGCTGACAATTTTCGATATGCGCTTCGATAGAAACTCCGTTAGAAATGCCCGATGTCACACGAGTTTCTCCGGGCCCCAAAATAATTCGTTATCACAATATATGAGTGAACAAGCGCAAATGCCGATCTCATTATTAGGGATTTTGTTTATGCTACGGCTTCGATAGTATTATATCGTGGAATGTTTCTTAAATTTCACCAAGTGCAAGTGAGCTACGAGGATACTAACCCCCAGTAGTAATTGTGCTATGGCCAGCTGTATGATACAATAACTTGTTTAGTTTTTAATGACGGTAGACCTGAAAATCTATTATGACTTCTCAAAGTCTTTAAGATTCTTGGCGTCGGCAAACGAGACCTTTCCGTCTTGTCCAACGCTCGCCACGTTTATCTTGACCGCCGCCGCGTCCTTCGTCTTCGGTGTGACGTCGGGCTTCGGCTTCGTTACCAACTCTACAGCAGCCGGGACCTCTCCCATAGGGGCGTCGGCAAGCTCATTGACGTCTGCGTTTGTGAGTACGTCGCTAATTCGAGTGCCTCTGCTCGACATGAGTATCGTGGTTGGACCCCGGAATTGTAAGAATAGCCTATCACCCCATATCGTGCGTCTCGCTGTCGTGCGGAGACCGAATAAGACTCGGGAGAGGAACTTGTAAGTCTCGGTCCCGCGCATTGTCTTCAGGAATTTGGCATCCCCTAGCCACGTCGTAATCGAAGGTACCTGGAATCTAATGCCCGAGCTCTTGAATCTGAAGGGCAAAGGTGGGTGCTTTGTCACCGTATAAGCTACCACGTTCGAGGGGTGAACTACGAATTCCTCCCCTTCCGCCAAGGTAAGTTGGTATATATGTCCTGGTGCAGATAATGCAGCAATTCCCCGACCGGTCAATTCGGACGAGCCCCAGTGGGCGACTGGGAGTCGATATTGGATTCGGGGAGTTATGCTCAGCGAATGTCCAGTCCACGCAAGAAGTGCCGATCTTTGCGCCACCATCCAATCTGTCGTCCCATCAAGGTGTAGTAGGGAAAATGTGGTCGTAGGCGACTTGGTAGATATTAATGCCGTGAGTGGAGTCGTAGAGGATATGCGTTGGTAGAGGAAGGGGACGCCGGTGACGGCTCGCGTAAACGGTGAGAGTAAGGAGAGGGTCGATTGCGCCTAATCCGGCTGGTTAGTTATATTCTCTATAAGGCCTTGAATATTGCGCCATCTCACATTTTGCGCTTTACCCGACACTGCGACTAATGTTCCGCGGCGTGTGTATAGCCTCTGCGAAGCCGACAGAGACACCGAGAGGAGGGAATATGGTGTCCCTAACACTTCAAATCTAGCATCTAAAGCACCGTATAAGCAATACTGCTCATAAAATAAGTCGAAGAGCTGGTAAAGGTACCCGCAACGTCTTTAGAGACGTCAATGGACGTGCCGAAGACATCTCCCCCGAGGCGAGGCGACCCGGTAGTAGGGGAGGAACTGAGCTGAATAGCTCTACATTGGCGACAAATGTAGCCTCTCCGAAGTCCCAATTCGTTTATGCGTCCTCTTCTAGCAAGGAGGGAGACGCCGCGCATGGTGGCGGTCTCGAAGGGAGGTGGTTAATATGACCGTGGTTCGTAGGAACTTATGACGAATGAGTAAAAAATAGAAATACATGTACCTATCAAATATTCGAGCTTCACAGAGGTACGAGGTACTTCACCTGATGTATCTAATCTTTGGCCCGATTGGACGATAATTACATAACCATATGCATTTTAGGTATACGCTAAGAGGTACCTGGGTACGTAAGTTCAGTCTACGTGCATCCAGCTTGAGGGTATAAGATACCTACCTAGGCAGGTAGGTTAGGTACCTTAGGTATAAGACTGTGATAGTAGAAGCGCCTACTCTACAAATCACAACGTGTAAACCGTCTAACTAAATCAACCAATCTGTAATATTTCACCTATCTAGGTACTCAAGTCTTCCTTCCTTTTACCTAGCATCTCTCTAGATGCATCCACTTAAACTTTGGTCCTACGGACGCTCAATTCCAAGTGAAAGGTCTCCCTCTACTGACATCCCATCCACGTTCCTCTGAATGATGCAAAGAACCCTTGTAAAAAATAATCGAAACCAGTACTTGTAACCCTAGCAAATGCTACCGTTCCTATAACGCCACGCCTATGCAAGCTTGGTTTGGCCTGAGCCTGAATGCAAAGAGAACCGCCAGCCGATATATGCAGCCTAAGGTGACCAGACCAAAGAAAATGCCCTTTTAACAAGCAACGCCGGAAGATGCAAGTAAGCCTTCATACGCGCGGTCTACCGTGCGACCACCCATCCCAGGGACCGCTCTAAGCTGTTCTAGTGAATCGATACGACCGCCATCCTCTTCAGGCAGCAGCTCTAAGTAGTCTACTAGATCCCGAGCCTTCTTAGGTCCAAAGCCCTGTAGGCTCCTGATCAGAGCGACATCTCGCGAGTTCACGATTTCTAGCAAATTCTGTGATATGGGGCCTTCTTCCACCGCACAAAATTCCCCTGCAGGTGCTTTTGTAGCCTTGGACTTCTTTCCTTGCTTACGTCCTTTACCTATATAGATCTCGCCATCGTCGTCTGCTTCCAGGCCGTTGAAATCATCGTCGTCCACGATCTGTTGGTCAAGCTTCTTATGCTTCTTCTCAGCTAGATATTCGTCGACTTCGGTACCCATTTCACCGGGAATCTCACGTTTCGCCTGCAGCCGAGTCTTAAGCTTCTCAATCCTCCCAAGAAGCTTGGCCTGACCGGGGAAGTAAGGTAGTGCCATCTCGTACATCTTGAGAGCGCTGGCTTCTTCGCCACGTTCCTTATGTTGTCGCGCCATGAGTAAGAATCGCAATCCATCCGAGCGCGAGTCGTCCTGGCGCGTGTCCTCGATACGCTTCTCTAGAGCCTCTAGGCGTCTCTGGACGGCTTCGTTAATTTCGGGTGGTGTTGGAGCAGCCTGGGTTCGAGATGCGAGGATCTCGCTGACCTTCTTCTCTACCATTGCCTCTATCTGGTCAGCAGACATGGATAGTTGAGCTGGCTGTGAAGGTTTAGCCGACCGGGGTACCAATGCTGGGCGGGTAATCTTAGATGGCCGACTACCACCATCGGAATCCGAAGGGCGCTTATGCTGGGGTGGCGATCGCTTTATCGTGGTATTGGCTGTTGGTCGAGAAGCGGGTTGCGGTTTCGATCGATCAGAAAAGACACTAAATGCCTTGACGGGGCGATCTGGCTTGTCTGCTGCTTTATTTGCCGCCACTGTCCCCGAATGGATGTTATGCACATTCGCGAGAGGCCGCAGGGGCTGACGAGCCGTTCCTGAACTAGTGTTGGAGCTAGAACGAGGCGGTTGCTTGAATACAACCTCATTTTCGATTTCTCGAACTTCGATTCGCTTAGCTCTCGAACTAACATTCAAGCTGCTGAGCGTGTCAAGATGGTAGCTTCGGATCGGTGCAAGATTCAGAATCATAATGGTGATGCCATTGTTTTGGCCGAGGGAGAGGATTCGCGTCATTTTCGACTCCCGAAAAGGTATCCGACGATCTCCTCTCGAGATGGCATCAATGCATTGACTTAGCACAAACAAGCTTTTGTTGATAGCAGCAGATTCAACCAGCCGCTCCTTGCCATTTTCTGTCCGCCGGTTGTCTTCCGAACCAGCTAAGTCAATGGCAGATGCCGTGCTCTCCTTAACCATATCTCCTGTTGTCTGGGTAAGCTTGACACGCAAAATAGCATGGCTTCTACTGCTGTGAGCATTAAGCTTTGTAGCTGCGGTGATACGATTATTGTTAGACTCGATATATAGTCGCTCAAAATCCTTTAGGTCCTGGCAAGGACGTTCAGATAACCCAGCAACAACAGTCTTGCCATTAGCCTCTGCACGAAGAGGCAAACCTGAAGGCGTCCGTTTCTCAGGGGGTTCGAGGAGATCGAAGACCTTATCGTTATAAATCTCGTAGTATGAGAGTGCAACGTCTACCGTCGTCTCGCCATCGGAATCTTTGGCAATCTTCTTAGCTCTACGGAAGACACCACTAAGGAGTCTCGGGATAACACCGCGCTCGGCCAATTTTAATCCACCACGCATTGTATGAGTCTTTCCGGTTCCGGTGACACCATAAGCAAATATCGTAAGATCGAGGCCTTGGAAGAGGGACTTAAGAAGAGGGGAGACTATAAAGCAGTAGGGTTAAGCTATGAACATCTTCTACGAGAAGAGCAACGAGAGCGGTGAAGAAAAGGGACGAAGATAGAATCCTACCTTCCGCTGCAAATAGCTCCTCTTGAGTTGTTAATTGATCGTACACGCCATTGAACGTGAAAGAGAACTCCTCTGATTCATTCTTGGGATTAGGGATCTTGACGACATTGCTTGTCTTGCCATCATCGTTGCTGGCAGCATGTACGATTACGTCCTTGTCCAATTCCTTGTCTAGGAGCGGACGTATCCGCGCGACAACTCTCACAGACATGACTGTATTTCAAGCCAATAAGACCTAGGAGCTGATATGGAAAATAATGGATAAGAAGTGAAAAGAATGATGCAATAAGGATTAAATGTGAGGTTCCGCAGCGTGCCTCGATGTTTAATAATGGTGATGTTATTAGGATATGGACGACTTTTAGGCTTTGTTTAGAAGATGGCGCAAGCTTTTAGCAATTGAGCAATGGGAAAGCTTTCCCTAAAAGGATAATATGGGTCTGTGGGGCATATTGTTGTAAGGGAGCAACCGTTGCGTGTCACGCTAGCAATTTCACTAACTCCCTGACGCATCTACAGATTATTACTGGTTAATGCAGCTGGAAATAGATGCGGTTAGCGGGTAGATCTGCGCTAAATTCACTATCCCTTACAAAACTATGATCTAGTTAATATTAGTTAGTTAAGTGATTCATTTCTTTTGCAAAGAATTCATCCCTCAATATATTTGCAGTGCTAGGAATTGTCCATATTATAGCACAGCAGATCAGGTATTTAATGATATATTTTTCATATGATTGCACGACACTAAGCAACATTATAGCATCTAAAGTCTTACTCTATCACCATTTGTATGTATGTTATCTAGGTATCTATCTGCAAGAGACATTGTAGTTAAGCCTTATGATAGTATTACTTCATGTAATAAATATTCTCAAAAATAGAAGCCATCTACAAAATAGTATATAAACAGTAAGCCATTATATAACCCGTCCTAGCCTTCTCTTATCTGGTGTGCCTTGGGGTTTGTGTTCATTTGTGTTCAAGCTGCACCGAACTTTCCATCCCGGGCAACAAAAACCGGCACGGCAAGAAACCCCGCAACTTCCACCGAAAGCTCCGAGTAGGGATCCACTCCGGGATAATTCTCGGCATGGTAATTTGATCAATGTTTACCTACCCAAGTAGGCCTATTTTGCTAACCTACACCAAGAGGTCTATGCTGCCTGACACTTGTACTTTACAATGGCCAATGCCAGATCCTACCACAGAATTGCCTGGCTAGTAATGCTGATGTGGCACCATAGGGTATCACTGAGAGGAATAACAGAAATTGTTTCAGATGAGATTAGCTCTTCATGTTATATCTTTGCTCGTGAATAACAGGCCGCTACTTTGTTAACAACCCCTAAAATAGAAGAAAGAAAGAAAAAAAGAAAAAAAGAAAAAAAAAGCTAGGTACCTATCAAAATAGAATTACTATATTGGGCAATTCGGTGGGCCAGCTCTCAAGCAGAGTCCTGAAAGCTTGAAAAATGAGCTAACCTCATTGGTCCATTAGCGTTCCTCTGCACCTTGTACCTGAGCCGCAAGCAGTTGCTACATTGACCTCTTACAAGACGACAATAACGAAATATGAAACCACATACTGTGAAAATATGGCATGCACGTTATCAAAAGGTGTCCTTTGATATAACTGCCAATTACAGGTAAAGTTGGAAGGTGCAGGAAACTGTATTCGTTGAAGAAAGGTGGTGGTGTACCCTTAAGTTCTATTCTGAAAATTTTTTCTTTTTTTTTCTCCATTGTCTTTTTTTTTCTCCATTGTCTTTTTTTTCTTTTTCCTTTTTTCTTTTCTCTTTTTTTTTTTCTCCCTCCTATAATCCTTCTTCCCTACCCCTATTGTCTACCTACCTATACACTTTTATCTCGCCGACCACATTGTCAACTTTATTTACTTAGGTTGATCCATGTTGCTAAATTAAGAGTAGATTGCATATTCTTAATATTGCTTTAACCAGTTCTTGAACTGGTCACGTGTAGCCCAAAGCCTAGCCCATCTATAATATTCATGTCACACCTGCTCTTGCCCCGTGAAGTCGGCGACTTCCATTATTCTTGATCCGGGCCACCTGCGTGCCTTCTCGGTCATAACCCAACCATCGGTACTGCCGGGGCAGGTTGATATTCGACCTGTTCTCCTCTTGCCGCCACTGCCCTTCTTCTCACACCGTACTCACAATATAACATATTTTCCTCTTCCTTATTCCATAATGTCTCGGCAGCGCCCATCTTTCGTCCAGCGCTTCGTGCCTGACATCGCCCGAATCTTCGAGGTAAGTTGATGCTCTTAATATTTCCTGCAGTCCTTTATCACCAGCCACCAGCCCAATAATCTGACGGTAACATAATCTTTGTTGAAAAGTCGACCTTGACTGACATCATCAACTTTTCCTTCTTGTACCCTATGAATAAGCAGCCTTATATCCATTGACACCCGGCTATAGTTCCCTAACGGCGCCATGTCTGCTGCCAATGGATCCCTGGATCCTCGCTCTCTCAATTACGAGAGTAGCAATCTGAACGAGATAACCCGCCGCCAGATGAACGAGGATATCAGTGCATATCGCTACGACTTGGACTTCTGCCGAAATCAGCTTGCTTCTGCCGATCTCACCCCTCAGGAGGTAAGAACCCTACAGATACGTGTTCTAGATTGCGGCCACAACATCCGTAGTTGCCAGCACAAAATTCAGCAGTTGGACGCCCAAGCACGCAACTCGGCCACCGCTGCTGCTTCGGCTACCCCTACCTATAAGTCCCACCAGTATCGCAATGCTGCAGCCACTCCTGCCTCAACTGCTGGAGTTAAGAGACAGCGTACTACGAAGCCGTTAGACAGTGATGATGACGAAAACATCGAGGCCCAGCCGGCCATGGACTTAAACGGCTCGGGTACTACTAACTTCCAGCGACTTGGCTTCTGGAAGTGCCGTCTCTGCACATCGTCGAAATTTCTAGAAGCAGGTTCCAATCGCGTGCCTAGTGCGCCTTGCAAGTGGCCTCTTAAGGATGTTTCTAAGATGATCAACCACTTCCTTGACATGCATACCGAGCACACTCCCGCCGAGCGTTGTGAAGAGCTTGGTACCGCCCTTGCATTCAATCGTAAGTAATTTGTGTGATTTATTTTACTTTATTTCACACATGCTAATACTCAGTGAAAAGGGGGCCCCTTTGAGTACTGGTTAGTCCGTACACGAGCGCAGGACTTAGAAGACCATAGTGTTATTAATGATTTCATCAACACTCTTCAGTCCGGCTCCATGCCCGACGCTCTCCGTGGTCTCAGTAGAGCTGCGAGCGCGTTCCCCAATACCACTTCTGGACGATGATCTTTCAATGGCGTGAGTGCCCAACGACTGGCAGTATGCAATAAGAGTCATGATGACATAGTCTAAATGAATTTGGGCTATGATTAAATGGGGGATAATATCTCTCCAGTTTAGATCCAAAGGCTAAATCGTTGTTTATGACACGATGCATAGAGAGCCTCGTATTCTGCGATGAATTCCAATCACTCTGGCATGGCGTTCGGTGTTTTACAGATAGATACTATTTATACTTCTTAGGAAGCTAGCTTGACAGACCCAAAGTCGAGATGATGCCTTGGCCATGATAAAGAACCAAATCCACGTTGATTTTAAAGCAATGATATATGCCAAGTTTTATGCATCTGGTGAATTTGTTTAAATTTTCTTATCATCTTACGTTGACCTAAACTAACTTATTTTGCTGATGCTGTGATATGTGATTGTAGTATCTCTAATCATGACGTCCCTTCCTACGATATAATTATTAAAATTTGCACTAAATTTATGGCAATAATTGGGTTTATTGTATTCAGTGTGAAAGGGGGATTAAGTAGGTGCTGCACTTACACATTTCCATAGGCTAACTTATTATATAACACAGGTCTTTAATATAGTACTAGCTATACTATTGGCTTTTGAATATACTGCCGAAATTATGTTGATAAGTAGCCCTTTTTACATTATGAGACAGACAGTCACTCCCTAGAAAGATAAGCCCATGTCAGTTTAACCTCACAAGCCTTCTAACCTGTGTATTATATATTAAGTTGGCAAATCATTGCTATTATAGAAGAATCCACTACTCTTATAACTGTTCATAGACATATTAATTCATCGTGATTCAAAGTATTTGTGCGTTCTGTTCTGATACAGAGATCCCTCAACATACAAAGATCGCATCACTTCTGTATGTATACTCAACGATAGATAGGATGGTCAACCCATAGTATTAACCTCATATGCATTCATAACCACTTCAAGTAGCCACCTCCACAAATTCCCATGCTGTGCCGTCACCCCTAGTCTCTATAAGCTTATAGGTGCCCTTCTGAAGTGCCATTTTCCGCATTGCATTGCCATGAACTGTCAGCAGCAATTGGCCGCCATCCGGATGTGCTCTCGTGTTAAAGAATTCCCACGCCCAGTGGTGATTCTCCCGGGCGACGAACTAACCCCAGTTGTTATGGCCTATGTGCATGTTATTGCTAGGGTTCCGAAATCCCAGGTACCCATCTGTCTCTATGCATAGCCAGTGATATCCTCCCCGGTTGCCCATGTCTTTTTCTAACTTCAGCTCTCCATTCACGAGTGTAATCTGTCTCTCGGTCTCCGGGTCTCGAATTTTGTATGCGCGACCGGGCCATGGCCCTGTTGGGCCTGGATTGGACAAGCATGGACTGCACCCACGATATAAATTAGCCTCTACAATGCTTTTTCCCATTCTTGCATTTCGAAAAAGTTTTTCAGGCGGAAAATCGTCCTCGAGCCAACCTAATGCCATATGTAGGATGAATTGGAGGATGTTAAATATAACCATCTTGGATTTATTAAGGCTTGTGCGAAAAGGAATAGCTGGGAAATTACTCGTCTTGTTCTTTGATCTATGCTGCAAGGAAATAAGGTAACATAAATCAAGTGGAAGCCTGTATATTTTGGTTAACGTATGGTGTTGGGTCACAATGAGTGTGCATGGACCACCTGCTCTGTTTGTCGGGCAGCAATACTTCTACGACAGCTGCTTGCAGAGACAGGTAACAGATTCAATTTTCAGGTCGTTGACTTTTCAAAAGGACTTAGGTATCATATATTTACCCATCGGTTGGGTGCCTAGATGATATGTCTGCCGCCTCCGCGTATGTTCCTAGTTTAAAGGGCGAAGAAATATCAACTAGAATGTACCAGCCTACTTCATGTGGACTTACTAGCCCAAGAAATCATCACGTTTATTTAGAGACTCTGTATGATTCCCCATACAGACGGTAAGCTTAGGTTAAGCTTAGGTTTTGAGTTGCCATTAAACCAAACGTCTTTTGAGTGTCTTTGCCACCAGCAATTAACTTAACACGGAGGATAATTTCGACATGGATCACGGATAATATATAATTACCTAGCTAGGGAAACCAGTTTGAAAGTTAGGTACTTCAGGTACTAAGGATGGAGCATATGTTTGGCTTTGATTGATTATTATTGCCTCGGTTTTGCATTCGAGTAAGATCGTCTAAAATAGTAAGAAAAAGGAGTTAGAAACCAGTTTAGTTTTTATGCCATGATGGATTAGGAAGCTACTCAGGTATTAAAGATACGACAATTAGTATAAATACAAGTTTTCAATCTTAGAAGTTTAAGTGTTTTAGCAAGTGAGAAAGTTCGGGAACTATATATTTGCTATTAGTTAATATATTACCAAGCATCGCCTAGGGTTGTTTTGTTTTCATCGGCTTGTAAAATTTAATACTATTAGACAAGTAAGAGAGCCCGAGACTAATCATTTATACGGTAATAGCGTGATAGGAAAAAATAGAATAACTACTTACGCATTTACTGCTAGGATTAATTTTAGCAATAGTATTCCTCTAGCTAGTGCTTTAGGCTGGTTCCGTCTCCGCAGAGTAGCTATAGCTTATAGGTACGTTAAAGGATATACAGAGAAGATACATATATTAAACGCATGTACACAATAATCTAGAACCGGCCATTGAACACGCGGCTCTCTGCAGTTTGCTGGTGGAACTTCTATACTTCCCTATAGGTACATATGTCAGTACTAAACCGGATATGATTTGCCTCCATTTAGGCTCAACCAAATGTTCTATGGGAACGCACATAACAACTAGTATGAACTAGATAACAGTATCCGTTGCTATCAACGATAGCTGCAGATGATCGTCACATCGGTAGATTAAGATTCTGCAAGATTGCTGGCTGCATAAAGGAACCTAGCATTAAATATCATAGCTCATGTTGATCCATTACAACTTGTCCCGGAGAGTATCATCCGTAATATATTGATTAAAATTTCCAATTTCTTGAACTTTTACATAACTAGCATTAGAAGCAATTATGTATAAAGACGTTTGTATTTGACGAAGTGTCCACGGCAGTAGTGACGCCTGCAAATTTGAAGTGGCATAGTAACACAACCGGAAAAGATACCTGGATGCAACATAATGCATGATGCCGAAAGCATGACGTATACAAAATTGCATGAAAGGCTGCTTCGTTTGGCGATGGCGAGGGGGCCATGTCACCTTGAGACACTTTTTATGTGTGAATTACTATAACATATCAGCTCTCGTTAAAATAATTATATTCCTATTAAAAGGTATATAGGTGGATAGTCCCATAGGGTACGGTTGATATTATTTTATTGTAAAGTAAAAGTCTGAGTAATTCCGAGCCCTGTGATAACGTGGAACTCAAAATCCTAAGAAGTTGTGGGGGTTAGATTGATTCCCTCATGGGCTTCATGCATTATAGATTGACCGGTGACAAACGTACGTACCAACCAGATTGCGAAGTCCTGGAACTTAGCATGCCAACCAGTCCCCGCTACCTATTCGTGACGCAGGTCTCTCTCAATGCATGGTTCGGCTTTATGATGTCTGTAGCAGAAGGGCCATACAAGTTATGGTCCTTCTACAACTGGTGTATCTCTCGCGCTTCGGGTACTTGCTTCTTTTCTAGTTCTAGAGAAGGAATCCAGCAACGGAGACCCACAGGTATCCTGGTCGGCACGATCCTGACAGAGCGCCGTCGATGTCAAACGGCGTGTGTAGGGCGGCGTAGATTGACAGGTACAGCACTGCAAGCTCGTCGACTAGACGTTACCTTTAGCCTCGAAGAAAGCTGAAACCTCGTCGTGGCCATAGTCATCAAGAATTGGCCATAGCATCTTGGCTTCCGAGATGGGTTGAACTCAAAACAGGTAGACTGTATCTCTTAGCGGCCTGAACAAATGCTAGTGAGCTATTGCCGGTCTGATAAACGAATATGTTTTAAGACTTGATTCATCCTTGGTAGACGACATATCCCGCGCTAGCCGTGGTATATCACCTATAGATGTGAGGCATCACAACGAAGGGCGATCTCGTCAAACGATGTGCGGGACCCTCCCGTCAACCACGCTGGCAGTGGAGCTTCTCTGAGCGAACGGAATTTAGTCTGTCATCCATCCTTGCGGGATGGGAAAGCCGAGCATGGCGGGGAGAGTACGGGGCAGTGAGGGGGGCAACTAGCACTAAGTAGTCTGATCCCCGGAAAGACTTTTCGGGAAATTGTTCTTGCCCGTAACTCAAACAGGCTTGATAGAGTATACAATTTAGGATGTCGAGGGGTAAAAAACCGCGTGTCTCCATTCGCGCGTCCGCTTCTTGTGACAGACCGGTGAAATATAGTGATTATTCAACTAGTTCGCCCCATCTGCAATATCGCAGACCGAATTTCAGCAGAAGAGCGTTCCGTGAACACTCAGCGATTGCAGCAGTGAGTAGTAGTATTAAAGGAACCACGGAGTTAGCCAAGAGAATCACACTTACGTAGTTACCTATAATAACCCCGGTTTGGAGGTTGGCACTTCCTATTGCCTTCATATATCCTGTAATACCTAAAAGGTTGAAAGCCCTATAAAAGGAACCGTTCACACACAATACTATGGGAGCGTCGCAGTGGCAGATAGGGTAGGAACCATGCAATACTATGGTAGTATTATACTATTGCTCCCCCGTGCCAAAGGGAGCACAAAATGCAGATATGGGGACAAGCCTGATGGTTGGAATATGCGGGTCTTTGGGGAAGGCGAATCGCGAGCTTCTCTTGAGGTCGTTTTGGGTGGTCTGGACTGTCGGTATGCGGAGATAGACCAAGAACTAGGGCAGGGGGATGAATGGGCAAATATCCAATAGGATTGGTTTCCCCACATTGGTTTCTGTCACGCTTACGCCGGTGGTAGGTCCTGGACATGCTCGTGGACGATGTTGCCGCCGGAAGTCCCGATTGGGCTAACCGGCATTCGTTGATTAATCCCATTCAGAAATGTAAGGATCGCGGTAGCCACGGAAATTTATAAAACGAAACTTGGTTCTTCGAGTCGACGAGCTTGTTGCTATTATATTCTAGTTGAAGGCTGCGAAACTCCTCATTACAACTTATTGATTAAAATTTGGCCTAGCCGTGGAACGAAACACTGTATCTATCGAAGTATACTAGGTTAGGTACCTACCTATCAAACATGCCGGGAATAGACTTGAATGGCAACCATTCGAATGGTCATACGAATGGCCATACTAATGGAATTGCAAAGAACTTCAAGAACCCGTCACTGCAAGTTACCGAGGATCATCAGCTGAAGTTGGTGGATGCTCCTATCGAGGAACCTGGTGTCGGAGAAGTAACTTTGCAGATCAAATGTTCAGGTATCTGCGGGTAAGCTTCATTCGTGCGTCTTGGGTATCTCGCATGGCGAACTGCTAACTTCCAGTTATATAGATCAGATATGCACCTTTGGAAATCGGGGCGCATTGGATCTCTCGAGGTTAAGGGTGATTGCATCTTAGGACATGAAGCTGCTGGTATTGTGCTTAAGTGCGGAGAGGGAGTGACCAATCTCAAACCAGGCGAGTCTACTTTTGATCCCGCACCTATGCGAGGTTGTGTCTTGCGCTTGGCAAGATCCTTTCATGTTGTGCTAACTGGAGATCTTGTTCGTTTGTTTAGGGGATAGAGTGGGAGTTGAGCCCCAAGAACCCTGCGAAAAATGCTTTCTGTGTATGGAAGGTCGGTACAACCTTTGCGAGGACGTCAAATTTTCCGGAATATGGCCCTACAATGGAACCATCCAGAGGTTCAAGGTTCACCCGGCAAAGTGGTTGTACAAGTATGTTTGATCAAGATCTGCTGGTACCAATATGTCTAGGGCACAAGACTATTCGCAACTGAGACAAGAGCTAACAAGTCCCAAGGATCCCAGACAATCTAAGTTATTCCGAGGGTGCACTGCTTGAACCACTGAGTGTAATACTCCACGGCATCAATGGAGCTAATGTGAAGCTGGGTCGCCCGACATTAGTTTGCGGTGCAGGTCCAATTGGGCTTGTTGCTTTAGCTGCTGCGAGGGCATCTGGTGCTCACCCACTAGTCATTACAGATATTGACCCAAAGCGTCTCGAGTTCGCTAGAGATTTCGTCCCACGTTGTCAAACATACCAAATGAATTCAAAGCTGAGTGCCGAGGAAAACGCTAGAGAGATCCGAAAGCTATACGGCGACGATGAATATTCGGCCCCGGCATCAGTAATGGAGTGTACAGGTGTCGAGAGCAGCGTCTGCACAGCTGCCTTCTCTGTTCGCCGAGGAGGAACACTGATGGTGATTGGGGTAGGAAAGCCGGTCATGAATAATATCCCTTTTATGCATTTGTCACTTGCTGAGGTCAGTTGTTAATAGAGTCGTACACCATTTTGGGGAATCAACAGCTAACGTGACACTATTAATATAGATTGATCTCAAGTTTATCAACCGATATCGGGATACCTGGCCGGCCGCTATACAATGTATGAGCGGCGGCATACTTGACCTCAATAAATTGGTTACACATAAGTTCC